CCATCCATCCATCCATCCATCCATCCATCCATCCATCCATCCATTATTAGTTACCCGCTTGTTCCTACAGGTAGCGGGGGTTGCTGGTGCCCATGTCCAGCCATCACTGTACGAGAGGCGAGGGACACCCTTGAAAGGTTGCAAGTCCATTTCAACTGGGGGGTCAGCGGCCGCTCACGTGCACGGCCCGTGACAGCTGTCCATCTGAGCTTACCGTGGATTTTTTTTTACCTCTTAAACCGTCCGGTCGGACCTGCCTCCTCTTCAACAAGTAGATTAACACAATTTTATATTGTGCATTCTTTAGTTTTCTTTAGTGCTGATTCGTAAAACCACATCAAAGCCTGAGACTGTCCCAGCCCGCACATTAAGCACATTATATGGACTGGCTTGGTCGTGACAACGCAGCGTGTTAACATCATAACCAGAAGATGTCTGTAAATTTCAGCTAAATCTCAGGCTTCGGTTATCCCGAGCGAATGCGCCACATTATAAGCAGACGTTGGGAGTAATTTATTTGTTACACGGGGTCCATAGGTAAAACTAATTCCGTGCGAATAAACGCTAGCTCATCTATTGACTCTAAAGTGATGTTTTTTTTAATTAGTCAATAGTTTATTTTATGAACATTAATTAATTGACTTTACGTTGAATCCCACATAAAGCAGTTGCTGAAGTAAACTTGAATAAAATAATTAAATTTGTCAAGCCACTCTGAACTTTAGACAAGCAAGGCAAGTTTCTGCATTTTTTCTTTGGGGAACTAATGCAAAGCAGAGCTGCTACTTGCCAAAGATTTAGCAGCAAATGAACCTCATCTTTCCCCAGCAGTGACTATAATTTTTTTACCTGTCGTCACAGGTTTTTAATTTTTTTTTATCATTGTTTTATTTATCTTTCTTTGTTCGTATCTACCTTTGTACTGACATGTAGGTGGTTTAATGTGAATTTTAAAGACGGTTTAAGATATTAAAATAAGCTCAAAACTCGTCAAGGCATTACATTTTTATTAACAAAGCTACACATGCCAGAAAGCATGAACGGTCTTGTCTCCCTGAGGAATAAAAAGTTGAAAACGTAAGAAATTGCTGCATGTCAGAGCATGCTACTAATATTAATATGGCTCCTTCAAGAGACAGTAAAGTGAAGTACACTAAACTTTAAATATAATCTGAAATTTTACATTTCTCTTACTGCTGGCCAGACCTTCAATTTGTGGATTTGTGTTTTGTTTGATTGGGGTTGATTGCTTTCATGATCCTGTGCCTAGACTCTGTCTGGTGCTTGAAAGTGCTGAAGATGGATTAAAATGCTGGTTGACAAACTGACGGAAAAGCTTTCACTCAACACTGCAGCTCACTACAGTGTTAATGACCTATCGTGTCGTGTTGCCGAACACATGATTGTACTGTCAGTGATAGACTTGGTGGTAGGAGTTTCCATGATTGATCAGGCCTGGCTGAAAGTGCTTTTCATAGTGAGATACCTGGTGAGGTTTATAAGTGGGCTCTTACCTAATATTAGAGCTGTTAGATTGTTCAGTCATTTGTTGATTTTTATACACACAATCATTCTTTGTGCTTTGAAGAACCATTAATAAACATTAAAAATAGACACAACATCATGTGTGAGTAAGAGGATCCACTGAGCATCATGTAGATCTACCCTATTTTTTATTCCCCATTTAGTATAACAAGGACAACTGATCACTGCTGACATTTTAACTGACTGCAGCATTTTGTATAAGTGTCATTAGGGGCATTTTTGCAGTTAGCTTTGCTAGATATGGGTTTCTCCTAGTGACTACATTCACTGACAGGAGAAGTATTGGATTTTTGTGTGCTGGGCCAGCTATCGGTGGTCAAGGCTGAAAATTATCTGGTGCAAATCAAAAGCTGATTCAGCTGTACTGCTGTGGTGGAGCCCTTCACATTAAATGAGTGATGGACATCTCTCAAACCATTTATTATTATTAACCATTTGTGGTGAACTAAATGTTAAGTTACTGTCTGTCATTATCTGCTTTTTAATTAAGCTGCTTATTGTTTTCTAGGTTTTTAAACTGCTCATTCATGTGGTTTCCACAGACTGCGTTCACATTTGGACACAGACTGTCATCACTACATCACATTCTTAAGCTGCTTACCTTTTCACATGTCAACTGTTACGGTTCTGCTATTACCTTGCTTGGCAGCACAAAGGTGCAAAAGTGGCATCAACCCCCCATGTTGCCTCAGTCCAGTCTGAAATCACACCAAAATGAACAAATACAGTCTTAGTCCCAGCCTGAAGTATTATGTGAAAGTACTTTTAAACAATATGTTTATTGATTAACATTTGCAGATAAAGATGTACCTTCATAAGCCATTTCAAATTGAGTACTTGATATTGGCATCATTTTTAAATGCTCTTTTTTTATTTCATCCATCCATCCATCCATCCATCCATCCATCCATCCATCCATCCATCCATCCATCCATCCATCCATCCATCCATCCAACTATACATCCATACATCCATACATCCACTTTTTATAACTGTTTATTGTTGTCGCTGTTGTCCATTCTTGTCATCATTCTTTGTTGAAATCAGGTCTCTCTTGTAAATGAGTCCTCGAGGCTCAATGGGATTAACCTGTCTAAATAAAGGTTGAATGAATATCCATCTATCCATCCATCCATCCATCCGTCCATCCATCATCTTTTACCTGCTTCTTCCTTTTTGAATTGCGGGGACACTGGTGCACTTGTCCAGCCATCACTGTGCGAGAGGTGGGGGACACCTTAGACAGACCTCCAGTCCATCACAGGGACACATCGAGACAAATAACCATTCACTCTCACTCACACCGAGGTACAATTCAATTACCAGTCAGCCTAACATGCATATTTTTGGTCTGTGGGAGGAAACCGGAGTACCCGGAGAAAACCCATGCATGCACGGAGAGAACATGCAAACTCCTCCCAGAAAGGCCCCCGGACTGGGATTTGAACCAGGGTAACCTGTTCACTGAGAAGCAGCAGCTCTACCAGTTGCACCATCGTGCTGCCCTTTTATTGGAACCATGTTGTCATAATTTGTCTTCAAAAGTTGTCTTGTAAGTTTGCTTTCTGACCAGTTCTTTTTTGTGATTTATTGTTTTTTATCTCTGGTAGGATGAAGATACCTGAGGCTGGAAGTTAAAGCCCTCCACCAGAGAGAGGCTCTTACAGGGCTGGGGCTGGACCCAAAGCCCCCTGCCCTAGGGTGGGGTGAAGGGCCCTCCAAGCCCTTCTTGAGTCTGGACCATGGGGGATGGAGGTACTGGTGCAATTGGAGGAGATGGGGTGAATCAATCCCATGCCTTGTTTGACAATTTTGTCCAGGCAACCACATGCAAAGGCATACTCAAGGCCTTCCAGGAGCTCTGTGAACATCTGGAAGTCAAGCCCAGTGAGCACAAGCTCTTCTATCACAAGCTCAAGTCCAAACTTAACTACTGGAAGGCAAAGGCACTCTGGGCAAAGTTAGATAAGCGGGCCAGCCAGAAGGAGTACAAGAAGGGACGTGCCTGTGCCAACATAAAGGTAATCCGTCATCATATGAAACTTGATAATTCATCTAAAGCTTCAACAGGTGGCTTGGTTGGGGCTCCTCTTCCAAGTAAGAGCCAGCAGAATAAAAAATGAGATCCACAGTGTCTAAGACTCATGTAATGTGACGCTCATGTTTACCAACCAGACGGAATTGCAAAGACAGGACAACACAAGGACACGTTCTGTTAAAAAGACATCTTGACTAGGCCATGACCATTTGTTACGTGCAGATAACAAAAAAAGAAGAGAATATGGCTTATAAACTGCCCATGCTAACACTGTTAAAAATGTTTAATTTAATCATTGTATCATTTAATTATTACATTCAACTGTCTATTGACTTTTTTCTTCAATATCATGCTAGTTATGGGTCTTTTTGTCCCCTAAAATATTGTGCTTTCTCATTGAATGTAAAACTTTATTTGTAGAACTGAATGCATTGGAACAATCTATATTATTACTTTGCTTTATTTTGAAAAAGGACTGAAAGCTATTTGTATGTGCACGACTGACATATGTATTAAACATTTCTGTATCATGCACGTGTCTGTTTTTAGTGTCTGATCATCGGTTCAGGGCCATGTGGCTTGCGTACAGCCATAGAGTTGGCTTTTTTGGGGGCCAAAGTGGTCATTCTGGAGAAGAGAGATGCCTTCTCCAGAAACAATGTGCTGCACCTTTGGCCCTTCACCATCCAAGATCTCAGGGGCCTTGGGGCCAAGAAATTCTATGGAAAGTTCTGTGCTGGTGCTATTGACCATATCAGTGAGTACACATCATACTTTGTTCTTATTACTAACACGTTGGATAAAATATTACCATACTTTTTTGTTGCATATAAGAAGAGGCATTAAAATATTTAGCTGTTTAATGGCATAAACACTTTTTAATGTTTTTTATGTGTTGTAGGTATTCGTCAGCTTCAGCTAATGCTGTTAAAAATGGCTCTTCTGCTGGGCATTGAGATCCACGTTAATGTAGAGTTTAAGGCCCTTATTGAACCCCCTGAAGAGCAAGGTGAGAGTAAGTGACTTAAAGTTCTTCCAGGGGAGTTCACGAAACATAAACCAAGAAGGATTATCTGTTTTATTAAAGAGCTGTCTACTGTACAGACTCTGTAAGCTTGGCTCTGTGGATACATTTCTGTCTGGTTACATGTGCTGTGTTTTCTCAGGGATAGGCTGGAGGGCTGAGGTCCACCCCAGGACACACCCTGTCAGTGAATTGGAGTTTGATGTCATCATTGGAGCAGATGGAAGGAGAAACACACTACCAGGCAAGTTTTTCATGCACAGAGAAAAAGAAAAGCATTAGTAATGCTTTTTAATTGATTAAACAAGGAAACGATGAAAACGTTTGTTTTTTTTCTAAGCTGACGGCGCTCACTGAGAATGATTATGATGTCACTGGTATACAGCTGTGGACGGATAGCTGACCTCACACTGTTCCTCATGTATGAAAGAATACATCTGTGCATATGTTTGTTTGTGCCTAGCTGCTACACTGAACTTCAAAGAGTATTTACTCTCCTGGCGCAGCAGAATAGGAATTAGTGAATTGGCTGTTTGTTTCCTTTATGTGTACTGGGGCCTCCCACCCTGCCACACTGTGAAAAAGAGCCCTGTGGAGTAGATCTATAATCCTCATCTGTGTTACCAATAGTTGCGTCTATAAAAGGAAGTTGTGCTCCCGAGATACCCAGTAACCTTAAGATGCATTCACACAGTGTGAAAAACCAAAAACGGTTTATGTTGTCCAGATGTTGAACATCTGGTTACATTTAAAAAAAAAAACATGCAGGAAGTTTGATATGTTTTGAAAGCAAATATTGTTGGTGGGATGATCTAATTTTGCGGTTTGAGTGTTTACCTTTTGTCAACAGTGTTTTGAATGCGTGCTCTAAAAGTTTGAAGTCACGAGCCTTTGTTGTTGAGCTTAAAGCCGTCTCTGCTTCCACAGGATTTCGCCGTAAGGAGTTCCGGGGAAAGCTGGCTATTGCGATCACTGCTAACTTCATCAACAGGAATACAACGGCAGAGGCAAAAGTTGAGGAGATCAGCGGCGTGGCCTTTATCTTTAATCAGAAGTTCTTTCAGGATCTCAGGGAGGCAACAGGTATGTCAGCTTCATCCTGCGTCATTGCCATGGAAGGATTTTAGTTTTATCTTTGTTTTAAAGCAGAACTTTGTAGTTTTTGAGACTGCTTACTTGTTCCTCCACATTCCTCTCTGCTGTGCTTCATCACTGCCAGTAGAAGTGGCTCAATGGTATATATAAGCTGCTTGACATTGATAAGTGCAACTTAAGTCGGTCCTCGTCTTATCGGTTCTTCTGAGGTGTAGGTGAATTGCCACTTTGACTTGTTTCCCTGCTCTGTGGGCAGAATAGTCATCACAGAGCGGGTGGTTTCTTTTAACGGCCTCCAGCTCGCGCCGAGTTCTCTGATCCACCAGTAAAGACAGAAAGGTCTGGACCTTGTCATTGGTCCACAACACTGCTTTTGGAGCTTCCATACTGAACTAGAAACGAGAAAAAACTAACTAACTAAAACCACGCTCTGCAATGATCAGGGAGGAAAATTTAGTCGTTATTGCTGGGCAGGTCATCCGGTGATGTAACTCCGCTAGCAAATCGACGGCTGCTGTCTGCTTACGTCAAAACCATCACCTCGGAGCAGTCCACTTGGAACTTCAAAATAAATGTAAACCAAGCTGATTGGGGGTGGGTACCAGCAATGGACAGGCCCTTAACTGGTGCGCAGTGGTGCAGTACCGATGAGAGTTGAGACGGTGGCAAAGCGCCAGCTGTGCAAGTAGCAGGGACTGAAACCAGTTGGGAATTTTAACTTCACTCATTATTTTCACTCAGGCAGAAAGGATTCTTCCAAATTTCTTTAAAAACACCTGGAAGAGCCAAAAGGGCCACATTTTTTACATCTGCAGTACTGTTTGTACACAGTGCCAACATTTTTTTATTGTTTTTATCACACCAGGGTTTTTGTGTTGTAAGCTATTCATCTGTTTCCTGTAAACAATGTAGGTCAAAAAATAAAGGTAAATAGGACAAATAACGTGTACTTTATATCACAGTTTGTATTAGTTAGCACACCCAATTAAAGTGCTTAGGTTTGAGGCCAAGTTGTCCACATTTTTTTGCTGACTTTACAATGTTGTTGGGGCTTCTGTTATGTGCTTAGAATCCCTTAATTACTGCTTTTGTTCCCAAATGATGACAAAACTGGGTGCTGCTGCATTAAGGAAAAGGACAGGGTTTTTCTTGTGTAACAAAACATTTTTTTTTTACATATACCTGCTCTTTTTAGGTATTGACCTGGAAAATATTGTCTACTACAAGGATGACACACATTACTTTGTGATGACTGCCAAAAAACAGAGCCTGTTGGAGAAAGGAGTCATTCTGCGTGTGAGTGATCAAAGCCCAAATCCCAGCATGGTGTTTTCTTTGTGTGTTTGAAAGAAGAAAAAAAACTGTTTAATCTCATTTTTTTATGTTACTGTAGTTCATGTAAAGGTTATATCTACCATATATGCAGAGATGATCATAATAACAAAGATGTTGGACTTTTACCCACTCCGACCCAAACCAAAAAGCTCTTCATTATTTCAGCTTTTTCTTCTCTGTGATTTTGCCCAGCATTAGCCTAATGGCCTAACCAAGCCAACGGTGTTCAGAAACACACTGCCAACTCGTTGAGTTTTTGTGTCCACATTATATACACTAGTTTCCTTTTGCTGGGCACTTTCCACAGGAAACAGGAAAGACCTTTTTAAATGTCTGTCTTCATGTGCAGTCATAAGCAAAGGTGCGCTGTGATGCCTTGGGCTTGTCTTATACTAGTGGTGTTTTTCAGACAGCTTTCCCTCCTGTTACATGTAAAACCATACATCCAGCTAGACAAATCTTTTCACAGCTATGAAAATAACTCCAGGAAAGAAATGAAGGAGGGGTGGAAGGGTGAGCAGAACAGAAGCCTTTCAGAAAGCTCAAGGCAGCACCACAAATAAATAAAAAAAAATCACTAATTCCTGTTGTTCATTCCCCTACCCTCGCATTCATCTAACAGTGCTGAGGTGGAAGGAGAGTCCTTCTGCTTGAGGATGGATGTGCTGCTCACCTCCCTCTAAGAAAACATTATTTTTAAAGCATGCAGTGATTTGATGTGTCAAAAAGAACCCAGCACAGTTCATTTCTGTGCCAGTGATTTAGACTTTGAGACTGGCGATGAAACCGTTGTCTACTGTAATCCATACCATCAAGACAGAGTTGAAGGTAGATTGTCTTTTGTTGGTGTGCTACCAAGGTTGTACAATAATTACCAAGCTGAGCTTCATGAAACTCTTTTGGCAGTACGTTAGAGAAAACTTAAACTTGTTCTTCCTTCAGACCACAAGATATGCAGCTGCAGACCCCATTGCTTCAGTTAATTTAGCAGTTAGTGCTACCTCTAATCCTGCTTTCTGTCCTCTTTCACATGTAGGACTATGCAGACACTGAGCTTCTCCTGTCCAGAGCTAACGTGGACCAGGCTGCCTTGTTGTCCTACGCATGTGAGGCTGCAGATTTCTCCACCAACCACCAGCTGCCTACACTCGACTTTGCCATCAACCATTATGGCCAGCCCGATGTCGCCATGTTCGACTTCACTTGCATGTATGCCTCGGAGAACGCTGCCATGGTGCGCCAACGCAATGGCCACAAACTACTGGTGGCGCTTGTGGGTGACAGCTTGCTGGAGGTGCAGATTGTTTTAACACTATTGCTGAATATTTAAAGTTTATGTTGTGGTCTTTTATAATGTCCTTTTTCTCATGGCTGTGGTCATATTTGATTATTGAATGTGGTGTTGGCTCTTGTCTTCAGCCGTTCTGGCCCATGGGCACTGGCATCGCTCGAGGTTTCCTGGCAGCCATGGACTCAGGCTGGATGGTGAAGAGTTGGGCCCAAGGAAAAACCCCTTTAGAGGTTCTAGCTGAGAGGTGATAATGTGGAATCACTGATGCACACACTGAGTTTCACTCTGTTCTTGTACTCACATTTATACACTCATGCACAATCACACATGTTTAATCTCTCTCTTCAGGCACACCCTTTTATCTCTAAGTGCTTTACTAGGAATTGTGGCCATATGCAATTTAAAGCATCTGTCCCACCTCACCTAGTACTAATAGGATAAGAAGCTCTCATAAGGCCTGAATGGAATGTGACTCCATTGTTCTGTAGTACTTTACAGTGCTTTGTGATCGTAATGTTAATGATTTGTTAATGGGTTTCCATGGTGTGTTTTTTTTACTTCAGACATACTTTACCTTTCTTGTACTGGGAAAGACATTTAAATCTGTCACTTTGTGTTTTAGGGAGAGCATATACCGACTTTTGCCTCAGACGACACCAGAAAATGTCAGTAAGAACTTTAGCCAGTACAGCGTGGATCCCACCACACGTTACCCAAACATCAGCCTTAACTTCCTCAGGCCTAGTCAGGTGAGCATGAGTGGTCACAAACCACAAGGCTTATTTTATATTCTAGTCATTGCAAATTAAAAATAGACATAGTAATCAAACTTTGGGATGTAACGTCCTGACGCATGCTCTTTAATTGAAGTAGATAAATCTAACAAGGTTGAGTCAGGTCCTCAGAGGACCTGACTCAACCTTGTTAGATTTGGGATGCAACATTTGCTGTTGTTTGATTTTCACTAGTTTTGTTCTTGATAAGAATAAAGTATCTTTTGTGTCACATGTGTTGTTATATTGTTCATTTTTCAGGTCAGGCATCTCTTTGACACTGGAGAGCGCCGAGAAATTTGCATTGAAATTGAGAACGTGATCAACTCGTCAACACCAAAGTTGGCCAGGAATGGTTCGTATATACTAATTATTAAAGAGAAAAGAAGACAATGGTCTAATCCTAATCTCCACCTCAAGCCCTAATTAAACATGACCAAAAAATAAACTAGTTACATACTTGTAATGTTGCAGACTGGGGGACAAAAGTATAGTAAGGTGTTAAACCTCTACATAATGAGGTATTTTATCTGCATTATTCACTCTGTGATATTCATTTAGCATTAAAGGGAATTCCTAAAATTACAAAAGTAAAAAAAAAACTCCCCCCTCCTAAAATATATAACAACATCAGTTACTCAAAATCTGCTAGTGATTTGTTTGTGGCATGACAATCCTGTTTCCGTTTTAATAAAATTGTTATTAATTACAAGTCCACATCAGAGCCTGTGTGCACGTATTTGATAGTGACAGGTCCGAGCACTCGTCTTCTCAACAGGCACCCTCTCTAATATTTGTGTGTGGTAATTGGGATTAGGCCTGTGCACTGATTCATACCACCTCTTAATGCTGAACAATCAGTGTAGGATTGACCGTAATGTAGTAATAATGAATTATTTTTACTCCAGACTATTACCTGCTTGACAAACAGTTGCAAGGTAACATAAAGTCCAAATGCATGGTGTTGCTTTTTTGGGGTTCTCTAATAGTTTTAACAGTTTTAAAATATTGTCTGCTAAATGAAGAAGTTAAATTAAAGTAATTGTGGAATGTTGGAACTTTGTGGATGGACTGATTGTGCAGCTTAAATGTCCTTTGCGTGCACTAACCCACTCAGTTCTTTTTTTTTTGTCTTTGATATATTTGACTTTTAGAAAAATAATGTTTCTTATTATTTCTGCATCTTCTAACTTGTTTGGATTTTTGTTCTCTTTACATTGGCAAAACATTTTCCATCACAGTTTATAATGTTTTTAATGGCTGGGTTAAAGCTGGTACTAATAATTAATGTGAAAGTCATGGATGACAACAGTCTATATTCTTATGCTCAGCCATGTATTGCCACGCTAGAACAGTTCATATTTATTTTTAATTTTAAATCAAACTCCCATTCAAAGCACTGCTTAAACATTGAGCCTTTCTTTTCTTTTATGCACACAACAGAATCCATTGCTCGATCCAGTAAACTGCTCAACTGGTGCCAGAGACAAACAGAAGGGTACAGGAATGTTAATGTGATGGATCTAACTATGTCTTGGAAGAGTGGCTTGGCACTGTGTGCCCTCATTCACCGATACAGACCGGATCTCATGTGAGTATCAGAATCACAACCTGTAGAGCTCACATGTATAGACAGCAGAGTTTATTTGATTTTTATTCGTTTCGTTTTGGCTGTTAGTGTGCTGTTGAAATGTTTGCCGAGTGTGTCCCATAGTGGTTTGAGAGACAGAGTTAGGTCTGCTACTGTGCCTGAAATGACTGCCTGGCTCTGTTTATGTGCTTGTTTGTTGCAAATTATTTTTATGGTCCAGTTGGGCTTTTGATTTTGGACAGTATATCACTGTAAATGAGGTGACAACTAACAGTCCCTTGGGTCCCTTGAGGGAGCCTTCTTTATATCCGCCATTCTTCTCCAATGCACCCACATATAAACACGCTCCTTACCATCTTATATGCTATTACCAATGCAGTCTCCATCTGCTCTGTCTAATGGAGTTTATTACCCTCTGGAGGCTTTATGGAATTCAACATTATCTGCTATTAGTGTTTCAGTCCTAGCTGACCTTTACAGAGCAGTGCAGCAGTAGTACTCTGCCACCTCTGATTGGCCAGATGATTGGAGGATCAGAGACAGTAATGAGAGGAGGTAGAGCAAAACCATCTTAATGTGTACACACGTAAAAGGCCGATACTTACGGAGGGGTTAAATGAAGATCTCACTGATAACTGATGTGATCTTCTAATGCCAATGCTTTTAAATTGATTTATTTTGAGGTTGAGATGTATTGATGAGGCAGGTAATAGCATTTTAAGCTGGAGTTTAATGACTTTGTGAGTAATGTCTTCCACAAAGTTTACAATAACCTACTGTAAAGAGTGCGTCATTAGTGATGGTGTTAATCTTGGTTCCACAGCAGATCATTTGGATTAGATCTAGGTAATTAGAAAAAAAATGCTTTAGCATCTGAGAAATGTATTATTTGTGTATAACGTTTTAAGGTTTGGTGACTGTTATCACTTGGTCTTGTAGGTTTCTTTCAGTTCCTTGGGATTTTGAGCACATTGCTCATGTTTAATAAAACTTGCTGCGTTACTTGGTACAGTCTAGAGATACACCGATCCGATATGAGTATCGGTATCGGTACAATGTAAAAAAAATAAAATAATTCTTGATTGGATATTGGCAGGGCAGCACCGAACCGATACTAGTATCAATATTGGTATAGATTTCGAAAAATTCTTGATCGAGTATCGACAATGTGACCGATCCATAAGGACAGGAGCTGATTGCTGTTTATTTTAATACCTTCCAACCAAGCTAGTGAAGCCATTGTTTTTTCCTCTTATTTCAGCTCCTTTATTATTTATTTTACATTATATTTAGAATTACTGAACCATTGGAAAGGTTTGTTGAAGTTTATTTTTTTCATGTTAGACCAAGGTTGTCAATCTTTGTTTTTGTCAGTTTTAGTATCTTTATTATTATTTATTTTACACTGGATGTTATACTCATAACTGCACTGATGGTGTTGTTTTTACATGTTTGACCAAGCTTGTGAAGCTACTGGTGTGTTTGCTGTACTGGTGCAGAGTTTTCAATCAATTTGTAATTCAGTACAGTTATGTCTGCGTTTAAAACTCAAATGTTTTAAGTTAATTCAGCACTGTTTTTCTGTATTAGATCAATATCGAATCGATATCTGTCAACATTAAACATCACGTATCGGTATCGGAAGTGAAAAAAGTGGATCCGTGCATCCCTAGTCTTGTTATTCTTTTTTTTTTCAACCCTATAAACCAAGAAGGGCTGGTGATGTTATTAAATTGCTTAATAATCTAGTGTTAAACAGATTGAGAACAGGACATTTTTTGATGGAGACCAAAACAAAGCTTCAGTGTTGGATTTGCAAAAACTATTATTATTTTTTAATTTTTTTACTTTGTGTCTATTTTATGTTTACTTGGCATTCATTTCAGATATGGCAGTCAATGATATGTTCTACTTTCTTTGTCAATTGTACATAAATGATTATAAAGTAAATACCATTTTGTTTTTCATCCTTAAAATAGTTTAGAATATTTTCAAATAAAAAAAAATAGTCAAAAGTATGGAGCAAATGTGCTGATACTGAATATTTAAGGAAGCCTTTGTGATTAAGATTAGATGAATTAATAATAAAATAAACATGATCCAGTTGAAACAAGTACCGATAAGTCAGTTTTGCTAGTCTACGTTTTTGTTGTGATTTTGAGCATCGACTATTCTGCTCCATCCTTGATTTCTCCTGTGTTTCATTCTTCAGTGACTTTGACTTTCTGGATGAGCAAGACCACGAGAGGAACAACCAGCTGGCTTTTGACGTGGCAGAGAAGGAATTTGGCATCTCGCCATGCATGACAGGCAAGGAGATGTCGTCTGTGGTTGAGCCAGACAAACTCTCCATGGTCATGTACCTCACTCAGTTTTATGAGATGTTTAAGGACATAGTGCCACCTGGAGGTGAGAATCAGTGATACAGAAGGGTTGTTCTGTTCATGACATGTTTTTTTAAGCTTTATTATTTATAACCTTGAGATAATTGCAATTCTTTGGTGACAGTTCTCAATTTATGTCCGTTATATGTGTTCAGACAACCACAACTTGAGTCCAGAGGAGAAAGCTGCATTGATTGCCAGCACAAAGTCTCCCATCTCATTCTTTAGCAAGTTGGGTCAAAGCATAGCGATCTCCAGGAAGCGAAACCCCAAGGTCAGCAATAGAAAACTGCGTTTGTAAAAGCTTGTTATCATTCTTTCAACATAAACCTCCCTTTCCTTCAATGGTATGCTTGAGTGTACAATAACTTGTGACTTGTCTTTAACAGGACAAAAAGGAGAAGGATGTGGACGGTTTGGGGAAAAGACGGAAAACCAGTCAATCTGAAGATGTGAGTTGTTCTGACGAGCAAAGCTGACGAGGCTTGTGCCAATTCATTCTACCAGAACAACCTGACGAGTCCACCTAGAGATTTAGCCTCTTTTTTTTATTTAAAAAGGATCTTTTTGCTGCTTTTCCTCAGGAGGAATTATGCAGGACAGGCCGCGACGACCGGCCGTGTAAACCCGCTGTTTCTTCTGAGATAAAAATGGACACCGCTGCTGTAGGGAACAACAACAAAGTGAAGGTCATGGCCACTCAGCTACTTGCCAAGTTTGAAGAGAACGCTCCAGCCCAGCCTACAGGGCTCAAAAGACAGGTATGGAAGAAACATTCATGAATCATAATTGTGGCATTTCAGCTGGTTAAAAATGAAGATAAATAGCAGAGAAAAGATGTGCGACTTTTTAGTCGTATGAGCTCAGAAAGTTTGACAATCGTAAAGGGATTCACTTTTCCTGCATTGAGTTTTGACAAACATGCACATTTTAATGCTGGGCTACAGGGCCTCTTGTGTCATGGTGGACGAGCTGTAGGCCACTGTATTAATGAGCTGAGGTCCAGAATACTAATGTTGGTCAAGCAGAGTATTGTTCCTGGGTCGTAGGCGGCCTCAGTGCTGACTAGACTTGCAGGGGATTGGCTGGTTCACAGAGCTTTGCTTTCCTTGCTACTGATGTCCAACTGGGTGATGTGAGGAACAAATGGGTTATTGAATCCTTGGACAACAATTCTGAAAGAAAAGAAAACAGCTTTTTTTTTATGTTTCACAACTTTGTCTTTGAAAAACTGGTTCTGATTACAGAAACAAAAGTCGGATAGTTTCGACTTCCTGAGTGTAAAGATTTTGAATGTTTGCAAAGACGTTTTGTGACGATTTATAAACGGTAAACAGTTGCTCAGTTAGATCTTCTTACGCTCATGGTTTATATATATTTTTGTTTCTACAGACAAATGGTTCAGTATATCTTAGTGATGTAAAACTGTCACAGCTTACAACTGCACGCTGATATCTTGACATGTCTTGTTTTTTAGCTTTTATTTGTCTACATTTGGTACAACACACGTCTGATTTTCTTCCTTTTTGTTTTCTCCATGGCTTCATCTTCCTTCCTGGACCATTTCACGATGCCTTGCATGATTTTTCTGTCCCTCTTACTGACCACTGGCACTATCTTTGCCTGACCATAAAGGGGGATTCTCTGCCCAATTTCGACTGCCTCTTTTCCCCTTGCCCTCCACAAAACCCTGTGAATGAGCCGGTGCGCCTGGCACCTGTGCCTGCATGGAGAAAGGTAAACTTTATCCATTTAGAAACTAACTACTAACCTGATCATCTAACCCAGACGTGGGCAACATATGGCCCGAGGGCCAAAAGTGGCCCTTGAACAATCTCTATCCAGCCCCCAATATCCATAATTGTTAAAAAAACAACTTTTAAATAAGTTGATGAAAACCTGCATTTTATCAATGAAATTCAAGGAAATCTAAATTAAGCATCTTTGGACAAATACATCAAAAACCTTTGGGTTAAAAAAGCTAAAACCATCGTTTTAGTCGACTTATTTTTTGTGTTTTAATTAAAATTTTTATTTTGCATATTTAGGCTAAGCAAAGATATTTTCTTAAGATAAAATTTGCAGAGTCTTCCATCCTAAAGATTAATGGGGAGACACATTTTTATTAAACATGCTAACTATGCTACAACAAGAAAAAGCCTGACAAAAGTCTTCTAGGATATATGTTTTAAAGATTTTTTATTTTTATTTTTATTATCTATGAGGCCCTTTGATTGTTTTCAATATCTTGATTTGGTCCCTTGGGAAAAAGCAAAAAACGTTGCCCACCCCTGAACCGTATGTCCCTGTGGAGGATCACTGCAGAGCCAGCTGCTTTTGTTTGTCCTGTCCAGTCTTGGTCCGACTTCCCTTTTTTGAGGGCTAACTTCAGATTTGTTGTCTTGAATTTATAGGGATTAATTCAGTAGGCAATGTCTAAAACTGTGCAATTGTATAACTTCTTAATCACGAGCCTGTGAGGCTTTGTGTTTCTTTTGTGTGTGAGAAAGAGACATGCGGGCGCTACACTGTCATGGTCTCCCTTTGCTTGTTCTGTCATGGTTCAGAGACGCACACAGCAGCAGGAGAAGCTGAGCATTCGCTACAAAGAAATGATCAAATGTCAGACAATGCCCCACAGAGGGGAACAGGTATGGTTAGCTATGCTAGCTTGGTAGTTTTCCCACTCCTACAACCCTTCAACACCCCTTAGATCCAGATCATTCCCGTTAGAGATACTGAAGTGCCTTTACATCTCAGAAACTTATAAATGGAGACGTTTTCTGTGCATTGAAAGTAACAATAAAAGAACCAGTTTGGCCTAATACCTGTTGATCAGCGGAATATGAGGATTTTTCTATGTTTTTATGATTAATCTTTTCTGGCTGTGTCCATATTATATGTTGTCCCACAATTCTGCAGCCTCATTCATCTTTCCTGTCTATGCTGCATTTAAACTTCAGTTTATTTGATCACATCACAAAAAAACCCCCCCAAAAAAACCTTCAGTTTATTTTTAGGATGCATTAAAACAAATCAGTCATTGGCCACCAGTCCTGACTTTTGTCATGTTTTTCATATCAGCAGCAGAGTCGCCACAATTAACCACTCAGTGTGTTTGCCTTGCTCTGAATGCCCTTTTTCTCTTCCCATCAGATTAAGATGCCGCTGTGGAAACATTAATTTTAAGCCTCAGACTCCCCGTTTGAAAGGATTTAAAGTCATGGCTAGTTTGCAGTTTCTGTGCAGTACACATTAAGTCTTCGGCTGCTGAGTCAACAGGCTAAAGATTGATACAAAGCCTGGAAATTATATGAAAAATCCAAAACAGCTACATTTTATTTTAGGTTTTTATGCATTATTATAGGTTTGTTTCATTTATTTTAACAGTTTCTCTGTGGTTGACTAGTTTTAGCATTAGTTGGTATTTTTGCAACTGTTTAAGGTTTTTTAGTAGCACACCTGCAATTTGTGCTGTGTCTGTCATTTTGCCTTATATGCTCCCTCTCACATTGTGTGTGTGTGTAGTTTGCAGTTTTTGAACAATTAAGTGTTGATGTGTAGTGTGTTGTAGTTTTACACCTTCTACTTTATTCTTTGAACCCAGTAGACACAGGTTTTCAAACCAAACGGTGCAAAATTAGTTGCATTCAAAATATTTGTTCCCATTTTAGGTATAGCTTTTTTTCACAATTGTTTCCTGAATGTGTTGTTCCTGTTCCTCGTATTTTAAGGCCAGAAGTGGTGCAGACCAAATGTCCAGCTCGGGCTCTCGAAGCTGCCCAAAGAAAACCATTCTGCTCCCTTCCTCCTCGTCCACCTCCTCGCTCTCTCTGCACTCAGAGGTGACATAAAGTGTGGTGTCAGTCTGTCTTTGGTCTGTTTGTCTCCCTATAGCTACAAACCAACCGCAGGCCTCTTTAGTGTCCCTATACTCTCCCACACTCCATCTCGTTTCTCTTTGAACACTCCTGGATTGTCAGGCGCTGTACCTCCGATGTGGCTGCTGTAGTGGGTGTTGTGAATGAATAAAATGCTGCATTTCCTAGAGTTTACTTCTTAGTTTAGCTTCTATAATGTTGTTTACGTCATCCCTGTGAGTGGGTAGTGAATGTCATTATCAGAGGTGCTGCTTGTTTTCATGCTGACTGGTATTTTGGGGGGTAACGGCTTACTGTCAACTCTGGGACGTCAGGTTTCTTTTTTTAACATATTGTCAGACACGTTGAGGTTCTGATAGTCAGCATCTCACGTTTTTAACTGTAAAATGTTCTGTAAAGAGTCTTCATTTCTATAATGTGCATGTCTGCTTATTTCTGCATTAAAGAATATCCTTCCTGAGGAAGAGGAACTTGAATATTATGAAAGGCCTCTGATACACGGGGTACAGTATTGAAGTGAATGCATGTCACTGTTGCTTTTGTTTCTGTTTGGAACGTGTTTTCTGCAATAAGTTGTGTTTAAATACATATCAGAGATTAAATACAAGCAGTACATTCATGAGCAACATCTCATTCAAGCTCCCTCGGCAGGAGTGGAAGCCATTGCACCTAACTGACCCAGGACCCATCCACATCCCTGGTGTACAGGAGAGGGCAGAACGCCTACTCTCAAAGTTTAAAAGCAAACCTAACAAGCCACCAAAGGTGAACACCATGGTTGAACAGCTGGATGTTGTCATGCCATTGGGCTATGATCTCTGGCAGCCTTTACACAAGTGAAATGATGGTATTTGTGTGAGGATTCTTTAAATATAATGTTCCCTCTCAACCATTCTTCTGCCCCCCTCCGGAAGCCGAAGAAAAAGCCGACCCGTTTCTTTTTAGAGCAGTGGCGCTTGTCCCGAGGACTGAACGCGAGCCCTGCTTCACCGCTGTCTTCTCCAGATGTTTCCAGAAAGGTTAGGCTTGTGCTGGCTGATGGTCATGAGAACACAGCCGCACTAGACGGCTTGATTCAGACATCTTTTTTAGATTTAGTGTTTGTTTATCCAAAGTGTAATCTGTAGTTTCTGCAAGAAGTCTGTAGCGCTTTTGTTTACTTTGTGCAAGGCATCACTTTCAGAGTTTACTTACCCAGGCTTACTTTACTGCATGAATTACATGCTGTCCGCTGGGATTCTGAAAACAAAGACAAAATAAACAGCCTCGGTAATGGAGATTGCATTTATAATTGTTAGCTGCTTCTAAAAACAAAGATGTATCTAAAGCCCTTTGGTAACTGAATCAATTATTTTTCTGCAGGAGCCAGTGAGGCCTCTGGACTCTGGCCAGTTGCCTATATTTGTGCTTAGTATTCAGGAGAGAGCTGAGCAGCTTGCTTCTCAATTAGAAGGCAAGCCAGCAGGGCCACAGGTGAATCTTTCTTATTAATACCTGCCGTTATTATTAGTTCTGATAGAATTGTATTCGGGCTCAGCTTTTAAAGAGTCCCAATTTAATTATTTTTGTATACCCAGTATGTTTGACATATGGACTAAGCTGATCAATGATTGTTAGTTGGCATTGAAATCCAAGTTGCAATTGATATTGAAAAATATATATATACAATTAAATTATGAAGCAATAAACCTAACCAACAGGATACATTTAATTTTGTCTTTGATCATACATTTACCATATTTTCCGGATTAGTCGTTGCTCTGGAGAATAGGTCGCATCAGTCAAAAAATGCCTCGTGAAGATAAAAAAATAAAAAAATAAGTTAGAGCGGGACAATAATTCGGTATCGATATATGTCACGATATACTTTTATTCAATAACGGTGATATGAGTTTTAAGCACATTTTTGATATTTCGATATGATTACAGTTTCGCTGACACATTTTTTTTCTGTTCGGGTTGAAGCGGCCGCTTCAGTTTCAACCCAAACAGAAAATCTGCCGTCAGACCGTCAGAATGTGACTGAACAAGCTTTCACAAGTGAAGAGAAAGCCGATGACATAATTGATAAGAGAGGAAAGAATAATTCGGCGGTGTGGAAGATTTGATAAACTGCAGGTTTCAGCTGCAAAATGTAACGGAGAGTCGTTCCAACTAGCGGTGGGAGCACATCTAACTTGTTCCACTTGATAGAATATGCTGAGAACCAGAAGATGAAGCACAATAAAGTTTGAGCCAACGTGTCCCTGAAACAACACCCCCAGCTGTATCAAGAGAGAAACACATGCAGTTAGGTTATCTTGTTGTTTAAAGTTAAAACTATTAATATTGACAAAGTTGAGAGTTTTATGTTTATTTGACGGTGATTTAAAAAAAAAAAATTGAAAGCTAAATACAAATAAAAGGTGAACATTAATTTATTCGTACAGTTTCTCTGAGGCTTTTATATTGTTTATATCGATATCGAATTATATCGTTATCGACCGAAATTAAGAAATATATCGTGATAAAAGTTTTGGCCATATCGTCCAGCCCTAATATAAGTCTCTTCCGAGTATAAGTCACATTTATTTAGACATGTATTTCACAAAGTGCAAGAAAAGATATTTAATGTGAAATATCTGAGATCCTGAACAGGCTTAATGAACATAACAAGCCAACGAGTCCGACAAGCAAGTTACCGGTAAATTCACCGATCTCGTTCCACATCACTGAATCCGTTGAATTCTTCTTCCTCTGTGTCGCTTCTGAACAACTCCGCCCACTCTGGAGGAAGATGGGCTGCTGGTGGTGGTGGGTGTTTTTAGCAGAAGAGGAACAACATATAGTTGTCAAAAGCCTAGAGGGCCCTCTCGCAGCTGCAAATGTTGTTTACTCTTTGGTTCAGTATGAACGAACATTAAATGCATCAATCAAAAGTTGCGTCATGAATAGAGAAAAAAACGTATATAAGTCACTTCGGACTATAAGTCACAGGACTGGCCAAACTATGAAAAAAAGTGCAACTTAAAGTCTGGAAAATACGGTAGTAATTAACAAACATAGGGACAAAATATAACAGACGATCACATGAAGTCATTCAAAATGAATTTGCTTTAGCCCCTCCACTAAACTTTTAACAACTTTCCTCTTTCCTTTTTGAGCTCAAGAAAAAACCCTCACGCTTTTTTATGGAACAATGGCACCTGGCCCGAGCCCAGAGCCCCCCCGATCCCCCCCCCTCCACCTCTGACACCTTGAGACAGGTAGTCGTTTCAAACCTGGAAGGAATGGAGTGCTGTGATGACGCACCACACCTGCACTGGGTTTTTCTTTTTCAGTTTTCTGCAAAAATCACTACTAAAGTCACCTGAGACTTGATTTGATAAAGTTGGCACCTGGTTTAGAAATAAAACAAACTGACTTGCAGCTTGTTGACTGTTGTTGCTGTGACTGATATTTTGGTGAGTAATCTGCATGATCGTGTCTTTGAACACATCACATATTCTTAGCTGGAGGCTTTTCAGTAAGAGCTCAGCAGTTATTTAGCTCTAGTTTTTATTACAGTTTTATTTGAGATAGTACTAGCTTGGCAGCAAGAATCTCATTTTGTGTAATTCCCTTGTGGACAATCATAGATCTCACAGGGGCCAAGTTACAGTTTAGCTGTGCAGTGGGATTAAAGCAGAGGAAAAGTGCTCAGATCCATCTATAGTAATTATTTTCATGGCTTAGGCGTGGCTCATACTAAAGTTGGCCTTAATTCTTTTAGTGTAGAGAATAAAAATCCTGTAAACAAGGTTTAATAAAACAAATTCTAATCCGGGTATAGATTAAATCTGGAAAAAAACATTTTACAGTCTGGCGACTTCAAGTGTTAGATGAATTTGAATGGTGCTTTCCAGGATTTCTATGGTCCTCATTCAGTGATAATAAATAAAACGGCTGTGTGTGTGCATATGAGTGGGGACAAAAAAAGCACGACTGCTTTACATAAATACTCAGTGAGCAGCTTTTATTGCAATGGCACTCATTTACTAGAGATTGTCCTTGTCTAAATACTGGGATAGTTGGCTTTTCTGGTGTCCCCCACATCCAATAATGCTCTATATTGGAAAATCAATGCACTTTGGAACGTGTTCAATAATTGTTTGACTAAATGAGGATGCTGTTGTCTTGATTTGTGTTGGGTCAGGCGACTACTTCTTAACGTTTGATCAGTCGAGCATGAAAACACTGACACATGGGAATTCCTACTGACTGTGACTGTACACACCCCTCCTTCTCTTTTCCATTCATTTCCTTTATTCTTAACGTTGTTCCACTTATTTTCTTCCTCTAACGTTGTTGATAGCACTATGTCAGGATGTACACGGGAGGAGTTAGCACGCTGGCTGAGCAGATAGCCAGTCAGCTTCAGTCTCGGGAAGATTCCAAGCCCAGTCGTGTACCTGAACAGAGGGATTTGGTAAGCTTGTGGTCCGTAGGGTAGAAGGCATGTGGTTGCACAAATCACAGCATCTCCTGCCTGAGTGTCGTGTAAAATTGTGTGTGGTAAATGAAGCAACATATCAATCACAGTTTAACTTTAGCTGCAGCGTGTGTGTTTGCTAATCGTTCACCTCCAGTTTGGACTGTTTAAGAGCCTTTTGGCTTTTTGTGTTCTTGTAATTAGGACTGACCTGCATCTATAGTGCCTATTGAAAATCCCCCTGTTCTTCTTCCTTCTACCCCCTCCGTCGCGCTGTTTGTGTTTTAATTTAAATGCTGATTCATCTCTGTCTCTTCCCACAGGGCTCGCTAAGAAAAGAATTTCCAGCCAACATCGGAGGCAGCGACGTCTGCTTCTTCTGTCGAAGGCGCGTGTACGTCATGGAGAGGCTGAGTGCAGAAGGGAAGTTCTTCCATCGCACCTGCTTCAAGTGTGACTACTGTGGCACAACACTACGACTCTCCTCCTATGCCTTCGATGTGGAGGACGGTAAGACTTTCATTAGGGCTAACATTGTGGAATTATTTAGCTAAATTCTGATACGTCTGAGAGGTTAAAATTATTAATGGCAAGCAAAATATATGGGACTTTTTTGACTGAACAATGAAATGACTCCAAACAACTATGAAAGAAAAGCTTTTTTCTAAACCAATGGTTATCAAACCTTTCAGGTTCAGACACAAACTATCAGCAGCAGAGACTTGTGAGGCCAACTGTTGCAGGTTAAAGTGTATACATTTAGCTAATAAGCCAAAAACAAGGATACAATGACAGCTGAGGCTGGTGTCTCCCTGGACTGCAACTGTTGACCTCTCGTTGGCGAACAGCATTTGTGAGACAGGCTCTAAAATGTCTTCAAATGTTTGCAGGGGTTTCAATTTTCAGTTCTGAGCATGTTTTAAAAAAAAATTGTGTGGCGAAGTGTTTCTCAAAATGGTCACAACTCGTACCAAACGCATCTTAATTTAGTCACGGACATCTCAAACCTGTCTAAAATGTCCCAAGAGCTGTAGTTGGACATCAGTAAGGGAGCGCACTACGAACTCGAAACAAGACTGACATTTATAGAAAAACTGGTCCAAATCTAGTTCTCCTCATTTAAAATTTTTATTCCAGTAGATTAAATCTGGGAGTGGCTGCCGAAGGTGAGAAGGATGTGTGCAGATGTTTGCAACAAAATAATGTGGAGGCCTAGAATACAACATTTCAGGTGGATTTTCAAAAGTTGGCCGCTCAAAACATGGCCACACGGCGTGTCGGTTGCTTGATTTGAAATACAGTACATAAAAATAAGTTAATAACATTATTTATCTGAGGAGCAGACTGCTTTGAGTTTAACTCCATCACAGACTCTCATCTTGAGCAAGTTTAAAGGCGACAGTGGAAACGAAAAAGTCCCTCATGAGGAAGAAACCTTTAGCAGAACCACACTCGGGACAAGCGGCCATCTGCTTCGACCGGCTGGGTTTGAGAGGAACAGGAAGGAGGAACAGATACACAATGGCAGGGCCAGAATCACATGTTAAGATCGAAATAATATCAAATGAAAACTATTCATATGTATGCATTTCTAACTATCCATTTTAAAAATTAGGTCAATTTGTCGTCTAAGCTTAAGGCAGCATAAGAAACCAACTCTAACTATAGGATTTATCAAAAGAGAAAGTCTTAAGCCCAGTATTAAAACTGGACAATGTGTCAGCCTCACGGACAGAAACTGGAAGTTGGTTCCACAAGAGAGGAGCCTGATAACTGAAAGATCTTCCTCCCATTCCACTTTTGGAAACTCTAGGAACCACAAGTAAACCTGCAGTCTGAGAGTGAAGTACTCTGTTAGGAAAATATGGAACCATAAGATCTGTAATATAAGATGGAGCTCGGTTGTTGACAGCTTTGTAGGTTAGAAGTAAGATTTTGAATTCTACTCTGAATTTGACAGGGAGCCAATGGAGAGAAGCTAAAACTGGATCTGACAATCGGAATTGGTTCAGTGGAAGACAACTGGACTTCTGGATTCTTGAAATGTTTTATCTTTTCAGTTCTCAACCAAAGAAGCCTTATTGATGAGAGGTTGTTCAGTTGTCTTTTACTTATGATCCACTTATGATTAACATTAAACTGCCTAAAACATTTAGTGTATATATATTTTTATGACAGCTATGGTAAATGGTAAATGGACTGTACTTGTATAGTACCTTTCTGTCTTATCAAGATACTCAAAGCGCCTTACAACACAGTCTGTGCCCTCATTTACCCATTCATACTGCGCTCTACTAGATCTAAGATTATTTGGTGATTTATCACATTCATGCACTGATGGGACACACATCAGAGGCAATGAGGGGTTCAGTGTCTTGCCCCGGGACACTTTGGCATGTGACTGCTGGTGGAATCGAACCTCCAACTCTTGCATTGGAGGACGACTGCTCTAACCACTCAGCCACAGCCGCCCAACCCAGTTGTGTTTTTAATATGTAATATCAACTGAGGAAAAAAAAACAACTTTTTATTATCAGTCATCTTTCAATTCTATCTGATTTCACAGTCCACGGTGGGATCTTTACTCCAACTTTTTGAAACTATGTTAACCAGACGATTTAAGTCAGATAAACTTTGGTGCCCTCTAGTGGCAGTATCAGAACACACGTTACTATAACCTACAATTCCATTTAATTCTGATCCTAAGCACTCAGAAAAATAACCTAAATACAAAGTATAAACTGAGATAGTTTTTATCAGCCTGTTTTATTCCTTCTTTTTCACACACTGACCAAAAATAGGTGTTGTAGTTTATTGGACTGACCTCAGAGTAAGAGCCTCAGTTACTGACTACAGTATTATGATTCAGTAATTGTGCTGAGCGGGAGGTGTGTATTGTGCTAGACAGACAGCATATTGTTGGTTGCGACACAGTGGCAGTTTCTCAGTGCTCGCTGTGGGAGTCAGCCCACTGATGGTCAGAGCGGAGGCACAAAGGACTTCTATTTTATTTCATTTTCCACAGTCCTCCTTTATAGTGCAGGACTTTTTGGTGAAATATGATGAATTTGCACATTTTACTTTTGTATTTTGCGTTATCTTTATATAGCTTCTTTGATCCTCATTTTTATTTTTATTATTTTTTTTATCCTTTAGGAAAATTTTACTGCAAGCCTCACTACTGTTACCGCCTGTCTGGCTATGCTCAGAGGAAGCGGCCTGCTCCTTCTCCGGCTCCAGTTTTAGCAAAGGTACCCATTTTTGTAAATTTGATCAATTCTTGTCTAAAATATCTGTCAGTGTTTGGCAAAAAAACAGCTAACATTTTTTGCTCTCACCTTCTCAGAGCATGTGTTTTGCTGAAATTAGCTGTGGCTGACAGAATTTTGCACGCTGCCTTTGCAGGAGAACCAGATGCCCCAAACCCCCATGGCGACTGTTGATGCCCCTGGAAGGGTGATGGAAGGAGCAGCAGCTCCCTCAGCTGAGCTCCAACCCTCAGGTACCTGGTTTTCCTTTGTAGATGTGATGGATGTGCCCTGCCGTCTGGCCGTGGGCGTGGGAGCCCCGCTTCGTGCCCTCCGTCGCACACTGTCCTGGACTTGCCAGCAGATGGCACACAGCCACTTAGATTCTCCCTTCCTTTATGCATACTGCATCTACCTCGTCTGCTGTTTCACTGTCAACATCCTCCTGAACCTCCTCTAGCATGACTCTTTCATCCTTTAGTTTTTATTTTAAAGTCTTTCCTCCCTTTGTTTTACTCTTTGCTGACTAATTCAAATGGGATTGTGTACATCTGAATAATTCAGAGTAGTTTTGTGAATTTGTGTCCCAGTGATCAGTTTATTTCTTGAAGGTGTGCCATTCGTGGTTCTGCCAGCTTACGATAACTAATCTGGCTTTATCGTAGAAAAGAATGGCGCATCTTAAATCTTGTTTTGCTTTTCTTAGCTCGGAAGTAACGAGAGCTCACCAGGATCTTTCTGCTCAGCTCTCCTTTGTCACGACTCTTTAAGCATTTTTGTTTTGGCTTTTAGAACGTAACGTGGCAATCAAACTTTTACATTTACTATAATTAGTGTATTCGTGAACTTTAGGTTTTTGCTCAACCACGTGATAGATGCAACATTTACATTCTCGTTTTAATTCAGAATTAAGCTAAGAGTTACTGGTACTCTTTTCTTTCTGTAACCCTTTTTTTTGACCTGCGATTGCTGTTTAACTTGTGTGATGTTATTTTAATGTCTGCTGTGTGACCTGTTTTTTTCCTCTGTAAGCTGTTTTGCTCCTAAAGTTTCCCTCTTAGCCACCAAACAGCAATGAAGTGCCTGTATCAGTGTTTTTGTGAGCTTTACCTTTCCCTCCTCCTTTGTGAGCATCTTAAAACTGAGAGCTTTATTAGTGCTTGAAACGGTGCCTGTGATTGGCTCTCAAGTGTTTTTTATCCGTCTGTCCGTGTTCATGTACCCATTGGTTCAACACAGACCAGCTGCTGTTGAGAATCTCTTGTGTCTGAATGAAGAGCATTCTTTTATGTTAGCAGCAAACTGGTTATTTAAATGTTAAATAAAGCACAAGCCTAATTAGACTTTGTAGTAGGACTGTAAGCATACATTTCAATATTTTGTTGTATAAGAAAAAAAAACTTATGATTGTTTGAAAGATTAAATTAATTACATTATAACTAAAAGTTAAAGTTTTCAAATACCAGAAGTCGTTAAGATATCACCTTATTTAGATTATTGTATATATTGACATATTTTAGAAAATATTTAATACAAATTTTTTTATCTAATTTGACAAATATTAAAAATGTAGTACTTTATTACAAGTAAAAAAAAAAAAAAATCCACAATATCCCAAATTTATTTTCCATCTAAGACATTAATGGATCCACATTAGGGATGCACAATATTATCGGCATGGTATCGGTATTGGCTGATATTAGCGATAAAATTAAATATCGGACATCGGCCATTCCATCAAAATAACTCACCGATATAAAAAGTTTCTGTTTTAAGTAAATTTTTAACTTAAGAAACTAACAAGTATATTTATTAATGCACTACTGCCGATGTGCTTTTCATTTGTCGCTTGTGAACAGGTTGAGTTTAGATTAGTAAAAAGTTACTGACAAAGACCATGCAGATTAATGTAGTATTTTAATTAAACAGCATAGAAAGCTATGTAGTCTCTGTAAGCAGGTCTAGGGAAAAAAATATTGGTATTGGTTATCGGCCAAATAAGTTTTAACATACCGACAAATCGTATATCAGCCCAAAATCCAATATCACGCATCTCTAGTTATTACAAGTCAAATAATCTACAATATCACACATTTATTTAAAGGTCAAGACACAATGGGTCCACAAATTGGAAAAAAAAAAAAAAAAAAGTAATTAAACTCAATGTCAATGATTTAAAAATAGTTTGTAGAAATAATTATCTTGTGCATAAGTCTGTACATGATATTGCTCAGTGAAGCAGAGTTATATTACAGATTAATAGGTTAGAAATGCAAAATTAGCAAATTAGGATTGTTAGGTTTTGCATCACGTGGTCTCTTATTTTCATGGTTGGTTTTAATCCAAAATGTAAAAAAAAAAGACATTAGAAATGTATTTCTAGTTTTAAGTGTTTAATATTATTAGGGAACAACTTCCAACTATTATAGCTCTTACACACACACATACACACACACACACACACACACATACACGCACACACACAAAAAAAAAATCAAATATCATAAATTGCTTGTCACACCTTTTCACAGGGGTCCCAGCGTAGTCAGTCAGCTTTTTCTAATAGGAATGTTCTTATTAATCATTTACCAACTGAAATGAAAGATATGTGCAAAAGATTTTGGCTGCAGATTAATGCATTGATCTTTTATTAAAAATAGATCTGTCAATGTGTCAGAAATGCAGTTTTAAGCTTTGCTTCTCAGGATAGGAAGAAGGCAAGGCAAACAGTCTTGTGTATGAGATTATTAGGACTATTTTAGTGTGTTAAACTGACCTGTGTGTTTTTACTAATTGCTGTAGGATTATAATCTAATGCAATAAATTCAATAGTGGACCTTAAATTGGTGTGTCCTTGTAAGTTTGTCCTTATTTTAGCATCAGGTGAAAAGTGTGAATGTTCTGTGGTAGAAAATACTAAACTCACACTTTGTCAGATATTTTACTACAGTTCATTTACTCCAGTTTAATCCCATTTATTTCTGAAACGACACAGACAGAAACTAATCCATTCACTCTGTGCTGCATGACTCCTGCTTCTCCTCTTTTCGCTGTAGCTCAGTCGATTCTCAGCCACCTGTTTGTGCTCTCTTTCCTTTTTTGATTTGCTTACCTGCTACTTTCTGCCACCCATGTGCCATCATTTCACCCGGGGTCTTCATGTCCTGCCGGACCGCAGCCCTGGAGGTCAATGGCCTGCAGGAGGCCAGTTTGGCGAAACGTCTACGTGGAACTCCGGAGCGCATTGAGCTGGAGAACTACCGTCTGTCCCTTCAGAGGGAAGAGGAGCTGGAGGAGGTGCCTGAGGAGACGCTAGCGGAACACAACCTCAGCAGTGTACTGGACAAGCCCACAGATGTTGACCTGGGATCCAGGTATAATTGTTTTGTAGGCCGTGCACTTTGATGCTGTTTATATTCTGCTGTCAAAAGGCGAAGGTGGAGCGATTTATAAAACATCCCACTGACCCACTGGACGAATTTTCATGAACCTTTCAGGAAATAATCATTCAATGTACAGTAGTCCCTCGATTATCACTGCGGTTACGTTCCAGACACCCAGATGGGTGAAAAACTTTTAAGTAGGAATGCTATATTTATTTTAGTATTTATAAATAATTTAAGGCTTTATAAACCCTTCTGCAATGTTCTAAACTCTTAAACCTACATCATTTTAACAACATACATATATGTACTGTACAGTACTGCAAAATTTTATTTGGGTACTCACCAGCTCTGCAGACCAGCAGCTCGGTTCTGGTCGGGCTCGGTTCCAATTCAGCAGACCCACCTTGCATCATGACAAAGCCCACCGCCCTGTCCAGGTTGATGTGCTCGTGCTGCCGCTCCAGGAAGGACACTCCGCACGCGAGGCTGCCCAGGATCTAGTCCACCACCATAGCCCGGATCTGGACCAGCACCGTGGCAACCAGAATCAGGCTGAACCCCGCTGCTGTCCGCATGTTGTGTTTCTCTCTCCGTTGCTGTCATTTCGTCAAAAAGCAGCGGCCGAAAAAAGAAAATAAAAGCGGCGACCGGAAGCACTGTAGGCTTCTGGGCCGTGTAGTTCTTTTGACTTTCGTTACAGTGTAGGCTTATTGAAAGAAAACTACAAAAATGGCAGCACTTGTCCGAAGTTGTTTTTTGTTTTGTTTTGTTTATGTTTTTTGTCCTATTGATTGGTTCCCATTCCCGTTAACTTTTAATCCCGTACCGTCCCAATCACATGAGTAATATCATGTTTGACAATCGTCTGTCATGTACAATCTTATATTTCAAAATGGCGAAAGAGTGAGTCCATGAAGTAGCGAGGGACTATTGTACCTACTGTATCTATCCACTGTATATGTATATGTATGTATAAACATATATCTATGTATATACCTACTGTATCTACTACTGATTACATCTTGGAACCAACTGAATTCAAGATGGTTGTCACAGACAGTTAATCTGACAAAACACCAAAATCTACATATTTCTGCCATTTTTCTTTAGAGCCGTTGTAAGATTTGTTGTAATTGAATTTAAGCCATTTGCATCACAAACTCCCCAGTGCTAACCGTTTTGTGAGCTTTTTGTTGCCAACTGTACAATAAACAGTTGAAGTCAAACCTGTTTGTCTGTTAGCAAAATATCTGATGAACCACTGGAAGGGTTGGGTTTGAGCAAAATATACAAAAGACAACAATCAAACTGGTAGAGCAACAGGCTGAAGTTATTCCATTTTTTTCTCTGCCCTTTTCCTCACTTTCTGGGTGTGGTTTTTCCACAGCAGTTCGGAGTCAGACATGGAGGAGGAGGACGAGCAGGAGGAGGCTGAGGTGGAGGAGCAGCTTCCTAGCCCTTCTGACCTTGGCGGCGTTCCCTGGAAGGAGGCGGTAGAGCTCCACGCCAAACTGAGGGGCGACCGCGACGGGGAAGCAGACGAAGCTCTGGATGACGCTGCCAGCAGGGATGGAGACTTGGAGGAAGAGGAGGATGAGGAGGAAGATGAGGAGGAGGAAGAAGAAGATGAAGAGTCTAGTGAAGGTGAGTTGGCGTTTTGTTGTTGTGTGACTTCCTCTGTTTTAATGTTACATCCTGTCCAGGTTTCATTCCTGTGTTAAAATAATTCACAACTCCACCTGATGTTTGTCCAGAATTACTGTTACATTTTGTCTTGTTGTCACGTACATCATTCTTTTTATCCTTTCGTTTTTCCTTCTTTGTCATCATTCTCTCACCTCCTCATACTCTGTACGTATATGTTTGTGTTTTTTGGGGTGTTTGTCTCTCCCTGCTGTCAGAGGGGGATTACTGCCCCTGGGATAAAGAGCTCCAGTCAGGCCTTTGGCTGGAGAAGTACCTTACAGATGAAGAAGATGTTGGTACATTCAAAGGTAGCAACAGAACTGCCTGCGGATGTGTTTGCAGTAAACCTTGAACATAGTTTCAACGTGGCTGATTTATTATTATTTTTTTAAAGATTTTCTACAATAACCATTTGTTTTTTGCTTTTTCTCGTTGGTTTTGTGTTTTGGTTGCTGTTGTTTTGAGGGATTCTGCATACACGAGTGTGTTTCTGTTTACTCTAAATCATCTAACCTGCTTAATAATACTCACTTTAGAATATGATAATTTAATAACTTTGACAGATTTTTCTTTTAGTTTTCCACCTCCTAGGTATTTCAGTTGTGATTTTACTGAGTGCCAGCTTTGCTGTGTTCAAGAAGTTGACGTTCCTTTTAGGGGTGCACCGATAAATCGGTCCAGATTTCCTTAATTTTAGGCGATCGGCCGATACTTACACGAGAAACCGATTTTACAGATTATTTTTGTAGTTTTAAAAACAACTGTCTAAATTTCATTTACCGTATTTTCTGGCCTATGTCACTTTTTTTTTTGCATCATTTGCATGCCTTGCCACTTATACATTGAAGCAACTTATTTATTAACCAAATTTTGGCTGAGATACGACCGTTCATTCATTCTGACACAGAAAATATTGAACACTACCATTTTCAGCCGCTACATGGCACTCGAGCAGTATGGCATGCCGTTGTGTCATGTAACAGGTAAAAGTGGTTATTAATGACACAACTGGCTTGCCATTGACTGCCACCTTTGTCCAGCTCCGGGATGATGCCTGGTGCATCCGTCAAATCAATTTCATTTTGCTGCGCCGCCCCGGTGAAATGCAGCTAATTTGACCATTGAAGTGTATTTATGAAGTAAAAGTTCAACTGAGACACACCTTTGCTATAATTATGAGCAAACAAATGATTGTTTTTAGGTGGTTATCTTGTTAAATTTTGAAGAAATGCACAGTGAGTCCTACCTCTGCGCTTCGGCGAATCAGGTTTTGAAATGCATCTGATTTGACCGTCGAAGTGCATTTATTAAGGAAAAGTTAGACTGAGACACACCTTTACTATAACTTCGAGCAAACAAATAATTGTTTTTAAGTGTTAATCTTGTTAAATTCTTGTTAAAGTCCTCCCGTGCACGCTCCCGCCATTTGGCATCCTATCGATTTTTGGCACACCAGCCCACATTTTCTGGTTATCAGCGGTGACGCGTAACAAATGCGATGCGTCAGCAGTGACGCATAATAGATGCGACTTATATGGCGAAGCAACATATTTGTGTTTTTTCCCACTTTTTAGACACATTTGGACTGATGCGACGTGTATGGCGGAAAATACGGTATTTTTCAGAGCACTACCTCATGGCCAGTTAAAACAAGTTTGTATTTTTTGTAGGATATTGTTCAGGGGGATGGTTTTCAATAAAATAAGATAGGAAAATTGAAGGTGCATTGTGACCTTTTCACACCTGACAGCGGAATCGGCAGGTCAGGCTTTTTAGAGATCGGTGATGGGCCAGAAAACTGCTATCGGTGCACCCCTAGTTTCTTTTTTAAAATTTGAAGCTAATTTTTTATAGTTTGCCTTTTTTTGCAGTGTGTAAATGCATGCAGCCTTCCTTGAACTTTCCACCATGATGACTTCTCCTAAGCACTGTGTAATGGTGTTTCTGCATTCTCTTCTTTTCTTTTTTCTCTTCTCACATTTCCACGCCTTCTTGCACATCTTCTCTCATCTTACTTTCTCTCTCTGTTCTCATTTGAACCACACAACTCCATCACACCTGAAAAACACAACATGTATTTAGCCAGGAATGTACACATCCAACAAGTCCTGCAACCTGTGGATCCCAGCGTCATTCCAGGTCTGACGAAAACACACCTGGACTCTGAGGGAGACGAGGACGGCCCGCCGGCCCCTGCCCTCCAACCCTCTGAGCTCACTCAGCCCTCCTCCACAGGTAACCCACCCAGAGGTGCTGCCTACTGGGAACAGCCACGGGCCTCGCCGTGTTGAGGAGCTGATATTTCATCACTGTGGTCGCCGCTGTTTTGTGTTAAAATTATTTATCTCTCCCAACTAATACACGTCTGTTTTTAATTATTTTTGTACTTTTGTTTCCTTGGAATGTCTGATTTTATGTTCAGCCTTTCATTCTTTTTTTAATGCAGAGGTGCTGCTGTTCATCTGGGATTAAATATAATGTTCTTCAGCAATGTCCCAGAGCATCATATAACCCTCTTTGTCAGTTCTCAGTTCCTTTGATTTTGTTCTGCTTTGTTCCGTTGTGTTCTGCTACAGTTTTTCCCCCATGTGTCTAATTGCTTTACTGTTATTTCCCTGCCATCTTTTTTTGTTGTTGTTCTATACCTTCTGGTGTGAGAGTAGCCCGTGCCCACACATCCACCCGTCATGAGGCAGTGAGAGTCTGGTTGGAGTCCTTGTCTGGAGGTAGCACAGACTTAAATGGGATTCTGACATCCCATCTTAGACTCGTCTTCTGTCTGTCTGTAGGCTGGCCCTTTCCTGACGCATGCAGAGAGCAGCCAACTCACAAGCATGAATGCTATCAGGCTTTTCACTCCAAAAGAGTTCTGATGGCCAGCACTCAGATCCTCCTTGTTGTTTCACAAACTTCTTATTCCACCTATTGATCATCAGATACAGGTTTTCTCTGCTCATACGCTGCTAACTGTACCGCATTTTACAAACTGAGCACCAAGGCTTGAAAACACGTTTCTTGCCCTCATGCAAGAGGAATTTCAATCTGAACCTGCTCTAACTGTGGCTATAGTTATGAACTGTAATGCATTAAGTGACGAGCACAAAGCTGTTGAAGTGAATTATCAACAGTTTGAAAGCTTGAATGAATGAAACGTTGGTCCTTCACATGAATTCATGCACAGGTTCCAAGTCCTGGGATAAAGTTTATAAAATCTCTTCAGTAGAAGTCAGACTCGCTAGAACCAGTTTTTCCTTCCTGTACATCAAAATCGATGACCCGCTGGGTGTATTTAACAGAGGCAATGGATAAGTTGGGATTTTATTTCAAAAGTGCATGAAATGATTGTCATGTTTTCATTCATGTTTATAAGTCTTTATAAGTCTTTACAGCTTTTTGGCTGCCATTTAAAATAAGTCAAAAACATTTTTGGCTGAGCTTTTGCTTGGATCAAATAAACTCCATTTTTAATTTAAAAATGGACAGCTGCATGCATCACTTTATTAATATTACTTTGTGCCCCATCTTTTGTTCATAGCAATAACAGAATATTAAAGTTTGATTTATTTATTTGGTTTTTTTTGCACAAAACTATTTTTCTTTGCCAGATTACTTTCTCACTGCTTTTTAAAGTAAAATGGATTTGGTTTTGAGGTCCTTTCACGCTTTTTCACTTATTAATTTCTGCTCCCCATTCTGCAAAAATGTCTTGATAACTTTGGAGCCTACAGCCAAAATATGAGGAAAAAAAGTTTATTCAAGCTGTTAGACTGTCAGAAAAGTTATCCCCCTATTATTGACTAAAAGCAGATTGAGATAGCCGGATTACTTATTTATTTTTATTTTTATCTTACCCCAGAACCCTGTGAAGATGAAGACCTAGAGGCTGAAGCAGGCAGTCCAGATGTGGAGCCTGGGACTGAATTAGATCAGGGTAAACCTTCAAAAAGCATAAACATTAATTAAACCAAAAAAACTGAATTTTCTGTGAAAATGCACTGTGATGAATGAATTTCCTGAAATTGAGTTAAAGTTAAAACTAACAGAAGCTTAACCCTCCAAAACTGGAAATAAAAGCAACAATTAGAAACTTGTTAAAAGCTAAAACTAAGAAAAATGTAGCAAATGCTAAAATCGACAAACCATAGCTAAAAGCTAAATTAGCTAAACTTTACCTAAAAGCTAAAATTAAGAAGAAGGTAGCTAAAGTCTGAAAGAAGCATAGGAGACTAAACTAGAGCAGCTATGCTGAGAAAGATTTTAGAAAATGTCTTTCAAGGAAGCAAAGAGATCTCAATGCATTTCTATGGGAACAGGTTTTGTAGACAAAGTTTTAAAAGTATGAAAGTTATAAGCACTAAAAATCATAGCACAATATTACTGATTGAACCAATGTTTTGAGACATGAATGGTTGGGGGCCGAGATGGTGTAGAGGCAGGGCAGCCGGCTTGGGACCCAAAAGTCCCAGGTTCGATCCCCAGTCACTGCACATCACGTGGCGTCTCTGGGCAGCACGCCTCATTCCCAAAATGTCCCCCTGGCGCTTTCAATAGCTGCCCACTGCACCACCTGGTGGTGGATGGGTTAAATGCAGAGACTAATTTCGCCATTCTATGGAAACATACAGTGCTGACATTGTGATGACATTATTATTATTATTATTATTAACTTGGTTCAAAGTATGAAAAAAAATAAATGGATAAGCTATAAACGGAAAAAATGTATGAATCTTGAATCGGCATTCACTCAATAATCTGTTTTTTCCTTCATATAATTACGTTTTGTTAAAAAAGAATAACGATTGAACCAATTAAAATATTTAAGCTTGAAAAGGCTGTGTGCAGACATAACATGACCAAATACGTCTGTAAGAACAACAGTACAAAATGACAAATAGGTACCGTGTCAAGTTGTGGTTTTTATGTTGAGGGTACAGAATTAACATATCAGATGTGATCCTCTACTGTCTCTTTAAGAATCGCCAAACATCTCAAGAACTTACAGATTAATTTGAGTTTAATCTTTTATACAGTCAATTTGAGTGCCTTGTATATTTGTAAATATGACGTGTCTGTTGTAAAGTGTTAAAAGAGTAAACCAGCTCTGTGTTCTCCTCACTGCTTACATGTGGCCCTTTGTGTTGAATGTCTAATTGCAGATGACATCCCTTCAGATGCAGAAGCTGAGGCTCGTTTGCATCAGTCTGAGCCCCATGAAACACCTGTTAAGGAAAACGGGGAAGAAGAAAGTGTAGGAATGGTCTCCAGTGTTGGTAAATTATCAAAACTATTCTTTCAAATTGATATTTCTTGAAGTTTTTACAAAAGTTACAATCATTTATTTTTTTTTTGTTTTGTTTGTGAGTTTAGCCTCATCCAGCATCGACCCAGTGCAGAAGGTTGATGTTGTTCTTTCTCCTCTCAAACCATCCCCAGAGCCTAAAACACAGGTGAGATAATTCCACACCTAGCAGGTTGACATCATGTGACGTGTAATGAATGGTTCCTAAATTTCACCCCTTTATTTTTAGGTAACTCCAGTGAAGTCTCCCGGCAGTCGCTTTTTCACTGATCCCTTCCTGCCTGAGGAAGCACTGTCTGAGAAGACAAGTCCGTCCCCACCAGTCAGGACTCCACTGAGCCCGTCACCAGCTCCCTCTCCGCTTCCTGCTTCTGTCCCTTCGCCCACTCTTACCGTTGTTGCTTCCCCTGACAGGGTGCCTGCCTCCTCTCCCCTTGCCTCAAACCCCACAGCAACTATCACTTTTACAATGAAGCCAGTCGACAAATCACCTATCCTATCAGCCGTCAAGTCGCCACCTATCTGCTCTCAGCCCACCCCATTACCAGAAACTCATACGCCTAAATCTCCAGTCTACCCTCATCGCTCCATTTGTCCTCTCACAGGTAACCCCCTTTCTCCAATCTGTGCCCAACCTTTGCCCTGCCATGAGCCCTCGTCACCCCTCACATCTGATTCCCCTGTCAGAACTCAGCCAGTCCCTGCAGTCACTTCCACACCCATGGCCAAAACGGACAAGCCCACAACTGAACTTAAGTCTTTGGATTCCTCAACAGAGGAACTTGCATCAAAAAAGACAGATATAATTGAGGAGTTTTGGTTAAAGAGTGCTGAGATAAGGAAGAGCCTTGGCTTGTCTCCTTTGGACCGCAGCAGTAAAATCCTGGAGAAGAGCGCTGTTAACGATTCAAAACAAGACTCCATCCCAGCCAAGACGCACTCACCAGATGTTTCTCAGGAACAGAAGCCTGTCTTTACTGGCCGCACTGTCATTCGCAGACTGAACATCACGCTCGAGGGTCAAGTCATTACGCCTATTGCTCCGATAGAGGCTAAGAGTGATGGCTTTGACATTAGGGAAATCAGCAGCAGCTCAGGCTTGGGCTTGAATGGAAGCCTGGCTACGAGCCAAACGGTGAACAGTGACAGCTATAACACATCTGACTCTACCATGCTCACCCCACCCTCCAGTCCGCCACCACCTGTGCCTGCCAATCAGTCTCCAGCTGTTCTCAGGCAGCAGAGACACCAAGTATCTTGGAGCAACAGAACAGAAAAGCTTCCATCTGAAAGTGCCAAAGAGCCAGCAAAACCCAAGACTCCTGTTCCTGCACCCAGGACTCAGCTGAGCCCCGTGTCTGTGCCCAGACCTGTGCCCAGGAAAGCCTCCTCCCCTGTGGCAGCACCAGAAACTGCTCCAGTGGTTGTAATGCGGGAGAAGAAGAAGTCTCGACCAGCTGAGGTGAGGAAATCATTTGTGGAGACCGTTGAGGAAATTCCATTTGCTGATGATGTGGAGGAGGCTTATGATGAGCGAACACCAGAAACAAGCATGAATAAGTATTCTACTCCACCCACCAGTAAGCCCAGCAAGCCCCCACTACATCTGGCTCTAGCAATGGAAAACGGTAAGCCTAAAATCCCAGTCAACCCCGCTTCCAAGATCCAACGGGCAACTCAGTTTTCTCCAGAGGCCAAGGAGATTGCCAAAGAGAGAATTAGGGCGAGAGAAAAGTCTGTCAAGAGCCAGGTTCTCAAAGATGCCATGGCCAAGCAACTAAACAAAATGAAAGAATCGGACACGGACAAAGAAGCCTCACCTAAAGTAGCCTGGAGTGCAACCCCAGATTCAAATGAAAAAACAAAAAAGTCTGCTGTATCTCCAAAAACATCAGCTGTGAAAGCTTTGGAGTCGAAGAAGGCCGATACTGTGCCCGAGCGCTTCTTCAGCAGCAACAAGAGTCTGGACAGCTCGGTGGCGTCCTCAGATGGCTCTTCTACGAGCAAAAGCAAGAAACGAAGCTCCCTCTTCTCGCCTCGCAAGAATAAGAAAGAGAAAAAAGCCAAGAACGACAGCAGCAGGAACTCGGGCACAGAGGAGACGCCGCCCAAGCACAAGTCGTTGTGGAAAGCTGTCTTTTCAGGGTACAAAAAGGACAAGAAGAAGAAGGACAATAAGTCGTGTCCAAGCACTCCGTCGTCCAGCTCCACCACTCAGGACTCTGGCAAGAAAAGAATGTCCCCCCTTGGGAGATCTTCAGGTAAGATCTGCCACATGTTTCTGTGAGTTGGAGCTGGAGAGTCTGGAAACTTGTGTTTTTCTGATTGTGTTCAGCAGACTTGAAATCGCGCAGAAACCTGAGCGTGTCTGAGGACTCGGACCTGTCGTGCGATGATGTTCTGGAGAGATCATCCCAGAAATCAAAAGCAGATGTGAGTAATGGGCATGATTTGACAAACCACATCTTTCTTTGCAGATAATTAAACATCCATCGCTGTGCAAAACTAAACAGATATTTTTAAACTCTTGGTCTGAAGAAACTTTTACCAATGTTTAATGAAAACGAACTCCTCAGAACAGGAAACGCCCGTCCTAAATTGAAAAAGTCAAACTCAATTACAAATTAAAACCTTTTTCGAACAAAGGTCTAGTTTCAGAATCTACATTAACTCAAGTTAGACACCCAGCATCTTTTCTTGGTTGCAGGTTCCTCAACAAGAGTTTGATTGGTCTCATTTTGAAGTTTTCTGTTGTACTTTTGACATCATAATCAAATATTACCGAAAAAATTCAAGTGATAAATGTATTACATTTAAAATAAGATCTTGGGGGCCAGATAAGATGTCAACGAGGGCCACATTTGGCCCCCGGGCCTTGAGTTTGACACGTGACCTTTTAATCTCGACTGTTTTGAACCTTTTTTGTCTTGTTTATATTAGTTTATTCAGATATAAATTTGTTTTCTGCATGAGACCAAACATTTCTGGGGAACCTGCTTGTCTAGATGTGCTCATACATTTAGATTTAAAGAACACTCACATAAAAAAGCTGCTCTCAGTGAACAAAACATTTTCTCGCAGGGATTTCGGAGGTCAGATGTGTCATCATCACACCCATTGCTGCAGTTTGTCTTGTGCTTTCGTTCACACCTTTTATCTTAATATAATTTCTTTCACTCCTAGCGGCATACGGACATCTTTGACCTAGTATCAGGCATGCAGAAGGAAGCAATAAAGGAGGAGAAACTGGAAAAAGAGAGAAGGAGGGAGTTAAAGACAAAAAAGGAGGTTAAAGAGAGACGTAATGAAAGGGTGCAGGAAAAGGACCGAGAAAAGGAAAAAGACAACGAGGAGGTATTTTGGCCTCAGGGGTAAAATAATCTTGAATACTGACTAAACCTAAAAGATGCAGCATCACCAGTTTTGTACTTCTACAGGTCACATGACTTTTAACTTTGAATAAAAGATTGGCTTGTGCCTTTTTAGTTAAATATTAAGAGAAAAATATGTACACAGATTTGTTTCTATGCAGTGAATTTGGATTAACACGATAGAACACATGCACACTGTATAATGGTGTTTGGTTGAAGAAATATAAAAAAAGTGTTCTTTTAAAGGCTGAATTCACGGTAAACTTGGTGCATAGGTCACATCAGGTCTTTGCAGACATTTGGCACACAACACCTTATGCAACCCTATTTTTTAATGAAGCTCTTTAATTCAAGTCCATTTGCATTTATAATGTTCTGCAATTCAAAATTATTCTCCCTGCTGGTGCCAAGGCCATGTGTCTTTTGTTCTACTTTTTATTTTTATGGTGGTTTTAGATGGATAGAATTTAGCTCAGTGCCAGAGGCATGAATTCATTGTAAAACGAAAAACATGTTCCCATTTTAGTTTTCTTCACTGTGACAACATGTGTGAAGAAGGAATCGACGTTCTGATTCCTTCTGAATAGTGATCTGGATTCCAACTTCACACAGCTCCATTAACCGGAGATTAAAGCTTTATCATGCCTCCCAGGCCTCATGGAATTCAGTGAGGTCTCATTGGAATCATATCTCGTTCATAGTGACTGTCGTGGTTATTTCTGTAATTGTGTGTATTAGATCTGTGAGATTGTAGCCGTAGCACTGGAAATAACAGACTTCATCATCAGCGATGTCTGTTCCATGTTGTATGTTGTCTAGTTTAGAAAAAATATTCCAGCTTTGTATTTCTTTGTGGGGTATTAACATTGCCTGTTTTGATTTGTTTTTTTACTTGCTAAATTATAGCTTGACTGTGTTACTTTTGTGGTTTTGTTTAACGTAATCATTAACCCATTTAATCATATCATCTGTATCGTGTTTGTTTCCTCCCCCCTTTTTATGTTTTGTCTTCACCAAGTCTGTTTATGTTCCTCACGCACTGGCGTTCAAGAGATCGTACGCCACTAAGGTAGTATTACATACGTTACACACTGATACCCCCACCACCTTCACTTTCAACTCGTTCTTTTTGCACCACGCACCAGTTTACTGTCAACATCTTGTGAACGCCTGGCCGTAAACTAATACCCGCTCACTTGCAATCCTCGCTGACTCACTGCTGGATGTTTGCTCTCTTGAAACTCTTAAAATCGTTCACCGTTCTGGTCCCTCTGATACGTCTGAATCTCTATCATATTATGGGCTGCTCCTTTCTGAATGCTGTGATATTAATCTGCCTCTGTGGCGCCAATTTACTCCGGTAAAATAAGTGGAAAAGCTTGTTTTGCATCAGTTGCTTTTACTTCCTTCTCATCATCTTTACCAGCACAATCTCACAAGTCTCGACTGGGAGAGAATTTCTCTCTGTTCGATTGAGCTCTGACAACTTATTGACTAGTTCGTCATGTGAAGTAAGGTTACATGAAAAAGGTGCAGTAAAGTTAATACATAAGGTGTCAGCATTTTCCGAGATGCTTTGTGTTGTAATCTTAATATTCCTGTTTAGATTACAGCACTAGCTGTCCAGTTTCCTCTCCTCTTGTGTTGAGATTTTTTTGAAGAGCCAAGGTCCCGTAGAGGTGGTTTTCCATAAGAAGCAGCTGAAGGATGAGGTGCATCTGACAAGCTTTTTGTTGTTTCGTCAGAAAACCTACACAGAGGAAGAGCTGAATGCCAAACTCACGCGCAGAGTACAGAAAGCTGCTCGGCGGCAGGCGAAGCAGGAGGAGCTCAAAAGACTACATAGAGCTCAGGTAAGAGACTGATGGGAGCAGCTTTTATGACTTTATTTGGGAGGGTTTTATATAGACATGTTATTGTTGTCACTGTTACTTTGCTCTACACCATATGGTCACATCAATGTGATTCAGCTCTTTTGGACTGAGGCCAGCTGCATTCCTTGTTAAAGAAAGTCTCTGTGATTGAGGCTGAGTGCAGTCGGGCCCCAGGCTGCTGACTCAGCACTGTGCTGTCTTTTCTCCTGGGACGGTGGTTAGCTGGCCTGATTTCTGTTTCTTTTCCTGTGCGTGTTTATAGAACCAAAAAGTAACTTTTTTTTTTTTTTTGGTCTGCTCCAGCTTCTATGAGTCACAAACAAACTTCAACTCTGAAGTCACAACATCAGTAATTTAAAGGTTGGTAGAAGTGTCAGTGTAGGCACTTTGGCTCACTGCACCTGCCGCTTCTGCCCATTTCTTTCACACACTTTGCTGCCTGATGTCAGATTCATAAAGTGAATCCATACTTTAAAACAGATCATTGAATTACACTTGACGTTTATGATTATGTATACGGCAATGTAGAGGCTAGGTTGCTTTTCACTCCCTAATGCATCCACTGCCAATACCAGTGAGGTGTGATGCTGATCCAGGAGAGGAAACCATGAAATATTCATAATCATCATTATAGTTGTAATTATTAGCTCTTTTGCTGCAGAGGACATATATATTTATTGGGAGTAAACTGGTGCATTAGTTGGAGCAAACCAGCTCTAAATGGTGGTAAACTTTGCTTTGTGTACCCCTGTGGAAACGGTTTGGATTGAAATAATAAGTTATATTGGTTATATGTGCCTCTGAGCGTTGGTGCGAGTCTTCATTGATATAAATGCTTGTCTGTCCAGATCATTCAGAGGCAGTTGGAGCAGGTGGAGGAGAAGCAGAGGCAACTGGAAGAGAGAGGTGTAGCTGTGGAGAAAGCTCTGAGAGGAGAAGCAGGTAAAAGCTTGTCACTCATTTATTTGTTGTTTTTTAATTAATGTGGCCATTTCACGTGGCTGCTATTTCTTCACTATCACTGCAAATTAGACACGACGTCCAAATTAAGCAGGCTAATGGGTGTTGCAACTTTAATAATTTGCCATTTATTAATATTTGAAAGTGATTTGTTCATGACAGGTTAATCTTCTGTCAGCTGCTCACCAGTGGCTCCTTCCTAAGATCTCATTTTATCTTTATGTGATTATGAGATAAGTGTTTTACAGCTCTCCAAAGAGAATAGCAGTCATATCTATGTTTATGTAACTCTGCAAAACCCATCCTTAGGTTAGGTTGTGCTGAAATCACCGTCTGCATTTGGTGTATTTCATTCTAGCAAAGTATATTTAGCCTGTAGCTTGTATGCAGGAAACAATTTTTCCCAAGTAAATATCTTAAAAGGGTGATGACTAGGCCTGTCACGATAACAAATTTTGCTGGCCGATTAATTGTCTCAGAAATTATTGCGATAAACGATAATATTGTTTGAAATTTTACAATAATTAGTAATTATTGTCAAATTTAAGAAGAAATGTTTGCTAATTTGTTTTGAATGTAGTACCTTTTTTCGACCACCAGATGACTGTATAAGACAGTTTGAATCGAAGGATGGATAGTGAGGGAGCGAGCAGCGTGTCTCTTTAAGAAAAATGGAAGGGAGGCCCCTTGACGTGACATGGCCTGTCTCTTTGGTTCTCAACATAGTGGATGCTCAGTGTGGTTTTAGCTTTTTAGCATAGCATTTTTCACACAAAGCTTTTAATAAAACTGTCAGGATTTGTTGGACAGGAACGAACCCAATTGTGCATACAGGACTCAAACTCGGCAAATACAAAAATAAGTATTTTAATAGTAAATAAAGAACAAAACAAACAGCTGACGTGGCAGCAAAACTTACATAAAGATGGAGGACTCAGAGGGAAACTCAGGGAGGACTCAGGAGAGCTCAGGGGAGACACAGGAGAACGCAGGAGAACGCAGGAGGACGCAGAGACCCAACGAATACGACCCGACAAAGGAACAACACAGAACACGAGGCTTATATACAAGGACAAGACAAGACGTGATTACAACAGGTGTGACAAGACAAAGGTGGCACCAATTAAACTGACGAGGAAACACTAGGGAAACAGACACAAACAGAAACAGCAAATGGTACCATCCTTACAAAAACAATCACTAAACAAGTTCTCAGCTTCATTTTACAGAGATAAAACTTTTCACACAAAGGCAGGGTTTCAACCGTGACTTTTGGAGCTTCGACAAGATGGAGTTTTTTTTTTCCCCGAGGTCGACCTGTTAGCTTAGCTCGTAGCTTAGCTTCTCAGCTTAGCTGCTTTTAACGATCCAAAAACGCGATTTTGGATGGCTAAATGGATTTTAGAGAGAAAGGGAGGGGTCGGTGAAGAGCACTGGAGTTTACCTTTTTGTCATCCACTGTCTTCAGTAGAAAGAGAGACACGAAGAAACGATAAAGTCGATAAATGAAAACGAGGTTGATAATTTTCATTTATCATGCGATTAATTGATTTATTGTTTTTCGCGACAGGCCTAGTGATGACAAGTGACCATCACAGACAATATACTTTCAAGAATAAATGATTTATGAAAGAGCAGCATAGTTTATTATTTGTGACCATGAATAATAATCGGTACTAAAGGTACTCATTGCAATGTCATGAAGTCAGGTTCAAAACTATAAAATAAGAAACAAATTATAAACAATATTTTTTTCCTCATATGGACGCTAGTGTGTCTTGAAATGAAAAATGTGTTAGCAAAATTAATAAACGCTGCTAACTACCATGTGGACTTGCTTACTTACAAAAACAGTTTAACTGTGGTGTACCATCTTGTCAAGGTGCTCTAATCCAAATCTCAAGTGAATATGCTCAGATTTGAAGATACATTTGCTTTTGGCATTATTATTATTAACCTTTATTTAACCAGGCAAATCCCACTGAGATCACAGATCTCTTGTGTAATGGAGGCCTGGGCCTGAAGGCAGCCTAACATGCATGTTTTTGGACTATGAGAGGAAACTGGAGTACCCAGAGAAAACCCACGCAAGCATGAGAAGAACATGCAAACTCCACACAGAAAGACAGCAGGTCCAACCGGGGATTGAACTCAGGACTTTCTTGCTGTGAGGCAACAGTGCTAACCACTGAGCCATTTTGAATGACGTGAATGACATAACGTGAATATCGCAAAAATTGCCGTTCTATTCAAAATGGCCAGCTTCCTATAGGTTTTACAATTTGATGCCATGAGACTTTTTAAGTAGGTCTTGGATTGATGCACCTATGTACCAAATTTCTTGTGTACACTGACACAGCCAAAGTGATTTGAGATGGAAAAGTCAATTTTGATGTATTTGTATGGATTTGCGCTCAGATTTGCTGAGTAAAGTATGCAGATAAAAGCGCTCTTTACGTTGAGTGTGTATCTGCATTTCAAAGTTCTATTTCAACATACAACAAAGTTCACTCAGGTCATCTGGATGTTTTTTTTTTTTTTTTTAATGTTTTTTCCTTCATCCAAAGGACTTCTTCAGTCCGGGGAGCCACAACAAAATCAGTCCCACAAGCAGCACACTCACATAGTGGACCAACCAGTTTGCTGGTGATAAGATGTTTTACTGGGGCCTGCCCTCTCCCACGTCGATTCCTCTGAGGCAGCCATAGTGGTTCAAAACATCAAAGTTCATACTCAATAATCCAGTAAAAAAAAAAAATAATCCAACAAAGTTTAGTCAGGTCATCTGGATGCTTTCTTTTTTTGCTGTTGTTGCTGAGACGATTCGTCCCTTATCCAAAGGACTTCTTCAGTCTGAGGAGCCACAACAAACTCAGTCCCACAAGCAGTTTTGTACTACAGATGTTTTGACCCACTATGGCTGCCTCAGAGGAGTCGACGGGGTAGAGGGCGGGCTCCAGAAACCATCTTATCACCAACAAACTGGTTGGTCCACTATGGGAGTGTGCTGCTTGTGGGACTCAGTTTGTTGTGGCTCCTTGGACTGATGAAGTCCTTTGGATGATGGACGAAACGTCTCAACAATAAAAAAGAATCCGTCCAGATGTTTTGACCTTTGTTAGATTTTCTTTTTTGTTACCTGGATTATTGTGCATGAACTTTGACCTATTTAAACATATCTAGAAAACTACTGGACTAAACTCTTTCAAACTGCTCTATTTGTAATAATTCAAGATAACCTTATTATGTTTAATTGTATAATTTGCAATGAGTACCTAAAAGGCACGGTATTTATTAGATTTATGAAAACTTTACAGGTTGTAGTTTATTCTATCTTAGTTTGTTTTATAGTAAAAGAATGACATAGAAACAATTCACCCTGCCGATTCATCCATACGGGCCTCAACAGTTACTTGAATTTTTCACTTTTTCCACCAGTGAAATACATTTTTCCCCACATCTACTGTTTAGATAATCAAGTGGTAAAGTATTTTAACTTGTTTACTGCTCTACTCTCTTAAAGGATTGTATAAAGGTACTTATACATTACCCAAACAGCACAAAAGAAGATCAGGTATTAGATTTACTCGAGTTGCTGTTTGTATTCTGTCATATAGGCTCCATCTGTGGTGACACACTGCAACAGTTCTCCATCTCGAACATGTTGATCTGTGTTTGTTCATCACACGTCTGACATCCTCAGTTCCTAGCTGCATGCGATCAGGAGATTGTGTGTCCCGACATAGATTTGTGTGTGTGCTCATTTTGGACGTGTTTCATCTTTTCAACTGTCTCTCAATGAGGAGAGTTTCTGTGCTCTGATCAAGATTCAGAACATGTTATAGTTTTAACATGCAGTCTGAATATAAGACATCCACTTTAAACTGATTTGAAGGATGGCAGATTCCTAATTAGAACAGTATCTCTGCTGTGGCTAAGTGAAATGATGCAGATATTTGTAGATATCCGCCTTTAATATGCTCAGCGGCAAGTCAAAATTGATTTCAACTTGTCTCCTGTATGCATTGATCAAAACACATTTAGAATTGGTTGTTTATAAGTGAAAAATCTGTTACCTCTAAACTACCTTTGTCAAAATAAACTGAGTACAGTAACTCAAAGTTCACCAGACGCAAGTCAAGCCCAGTGAAAATGAACACAGCAAATCTATGCAACCGGTTTTGTTATTTCATGGAAATGCAGTGACTTTTAGTTTTTGCACAAGTCGAACACACTGTGGTGAGTACTAGCAGACTCTCTTTGTTCTGAGTGTTGCTACACTGTGTCAGTGTGTTTGCAAGCCCGTGCATGACATGCTGTTGTTGGAGACAGTGCGTGTGTGTTTGTATGCCCAGTTTGGGGCCGTGTAAAATAACTCCTATCTCTAATATATCCCTGTCATTGTAGACTATTGGGGAGATTCTAATTACAGTGAAATCCTGGACATGCATCTGGGCGGTATGTATTTCAAATCTGTCGCTTTAAAACTAATCTAATGGCTAACCCAATCTCTCCTTCCACCACTTGTTTTACTACTTGAGCTTTGTACCCCTCATCCAGTATCTACCTTTAATGGCTGGCTGATAGGCTGGCTTTTAGATTCTGCACTAGTTGCTGCTCCTTAACCTCTTCCATTCTCCTTCATTCTCCTCCCACCTCCCCTTACAGCATTTCTATTTGAGATAACATGCACCTCAAACAGAGATCAGACACTGTTTTTGTGAAAATCACCTTCGATCTCTCTATACTCACTGAATAATACGCATTTACATTGATGAGCAACTTGTATTTGTCATTCCTTACTGTGACAGCTTGTACTGATGTATGAATCTAATGAGAATTGTATGTTCTTGTTTTTAAAAAAACCTTAAAAATAATTGAGGGACTTTTCACACAATAGTGGACTTAAAATAGAAACACGTTTTTATAGCATTTAAAGAAGATTTGGTTTTATTACATAGTTATTTAGACTACACCAAGATTTATAGTTTTTCAAAAACATAGCAGAGTTGTACCAAGACAGTTGAAATAGGAAGGGTTTAAAATATACTCTATACTTTATTTACTGCTGAAGTCAGTGTTCTGTGTTCTGTGTAATAAAAAGACCATCAGAGCTGAACTGAGACATTTAGTCTATTTAAAATGTAATGCAGCTTGTTCCTCTGTTCTGCAAAGTTCGCCTGTCCAAACATCATTAGACATCCACCACTGAGCCACAAAGTTCAGCTCATCATAAACAAATGCATTATTATGGGACTAAAGGTTGTCTCTGTTAGATGCACTTTTTACTCCAGTATTGAGCCCAAATTATGTTAGTGAAAAAAAAAAAAATTTCTAAATGCTTGTAATTCCACAGACAGGCTTGTAAATGCTAATAAAACTATGTTGACATGAACTAACACATTGATTTTAATGTTTTTATGACCTTTAATGGTTTGAACAGCAAAAATCTATAGCCTAATACATTTTAAAGAAATAAGCTTTGGTACAAAGGAGTATTTAAATATTTGTACCTTAACTTCTGGTTTGGATCGCCTTACTCTTGATATAATAATACGTGGCTGTTTGTTAATTCAGTCTAACATCTTGGCTTGTTTTTGTCTTATCCTCACCCACACGCATGCTTGCATGCTGTGGAAGTATTATGCAACTTCTCATGGACTGACTCATGCTAAACTTTTGGCCTGACTCTTCGTTTCAACTCTGAACTCTGCTCTATAGTTCTGCATTATAGTCCCAACAGCGGCTCTCTCATATCTGCTCAGTTGCATTAACCCAAGAGTGTGTGGTTGTGCGTGTGGTATGTGCTAACAGATGAACGTTGCAAGCAACCCCCTGACCTTAGCGGTTGTGTGTGAACTGCAGTGGGTAATATAGCTTTATTTTCTGTCTGGGTGGGATGTCATGCAGTGTTTGGAATTCCTCTTTTCCTCCTTGTTCCTGTTGTGAATTCAGCGGTGTTTTGTTAAAGGCCAATAGTTTTAAATCAGTGTCAGTGGGATCTCTCAGCAAGAGGCAAGAAAAGGTTGTGTTTTCTCGTGTTTGAGTAGGGTGTGCAGAGTTTTGTCTCACCGGTTGTTGCCACTCATCAGATGGGTGGAATTTGAAGAGGACTGTCTTTAAGATAAGCACCTCAAAGATCTTTACTATAACTGGTTGACCTGATTATAGTGTAGAACTTTGATGTTGAGGGTTGGATATTTCAGTGGTTCCCAACACTGGTCCCTGAGGAACACCATCCTGCATGTTTTAGTTGTTTCTCTGCTCGAACACACCTGATTTGAGTGATTAACAGGCTTCTGCCGAACTTAAGGAAGTAATTAAACCACTGAATCAGGTGTGTTGAGCACAGAAACAACTAAAACATGCAGGATGGTGTTCCTCAAGGACCAGGGTTGGGAACCACTGAGATATATAATCAGTTTTCCTGTATTTTATCTGATAACTCTCTCTGTTTCTCTTATATTTTAATACCAGATAGAATATATGCCAATAGAAAAGTTCAGCTTTTTCTGTGTTACAGGGGGTATTTTAGCAAAAAAATTTTGGTGTTACCACCTATACTTTAATAGAAGCTGTAAGGGATTGAGTCATTTTATGTGTTACATTTAAGCCCTTCAGGTAAAACAAAAACAGATTTTTTTTTCCTTTAAACTCTGCTACGTACATATAATTTACCATAAAAATTGAATCTCCCAAGTTAATTACTCCTTTATAGTTAAAGATTCATTGAGTATATGACACATTTTTTACATGATTTGTGGAAACCATTAAAAAATGATTAGGACTCTAATCTCTCTAGAATAAATATTCTGTAGCTTTTCCTTTTTTTTTTTTTTTCTGTGATGGTCTCTTGTTGTAATTATCCAGCTTTTCACTCTCCCAAACCTCTTCACCCTCCAGCCTGAAAACCTTTTCTCATTCTATTCCTATTTGTGACTTCAAGCTCTTATATGTCCATCCATTCAGTTTCTTACCCACGTTGTGGAGAGCGGGAGCCTATCTTCTGCAGTCACTGCGAGAGGCGGGGTACACCCTGGACATGTGTCAAGACCATCTGAGGGTCATATTGAAACCAACAAGACAAACAACACACTTTCACTCACACCTAGAGATGATTTAGAGTGACCAGTTAGCCTAACATGCATTTTTGGTCTGTGGGAGGAAACGAGAGTACCCAGGAAATAAAAACACATGTGCACGGGACATGCAAACTCTACCCAGAGCATGAGCGTTCTTCCTGAAGCACCTGTCTCCGTTTTAAGTTATTTGTGCTACACATATTTTATATTCATTATTTTGGAGCCTTTCTTATTCATTTTTTTTTTTTACCTAATAAATCTTTTCAGTGGGAGAAAATTAGAAAAAAATAAATCCTAATTTGCATTTCAAAAGTAGCTACACTTCAAAAGTCTCTCTACACAGGCAACAAATGAAGCCGGGTGGTCTCAACACGTTCATATAGTGTTTACTCCAAGAGGCTCTTTAAAGACAAAGCCATTATGTGTGTGAGAGAGAGACGGGTCTCCTGGTGAACAGTAATGGCTGTAATAGTGGCATCAAATCATTTTATGCACTTTGGAAAACAGTGACCATGTGTTTAGGCTATGCCCATTTCATAACTGACAGAGAGCTGTTAACGAATTGGTTTATCAGCAGAACCACAAATGCAAGATCAAAGACGGTTTTTGTTTTTTTTTTCATTCTGAGTTCAGGATTATTTGTTGTGTTTACTTGTTTCTGTGTTTCAGCCCCTTTTTCTTTTCTCCCACCACACAGCTTATCTCTCCCCAGTTTTTCTTTTCTTTAGGGAATTGGCCTTCTCCCTATCACTGTACTACTGTCCTTTGACTTTTCTCCTTGGTGTATATGTTCTGAACCACACCCTTCTTGTTTCCTCACCTTTGTGCCTATGTGATGTCTCTGCTCTTTCTCCTGCATTATCTCCCCCTCATCTTTTCTACCTGACCTCTGCACTCACCTGCATCACTCCTTCATATTATTTCCCTCTGTCTTGTGGAAGTTGAACCCTATGTGGGGATGCCTCGTCGACGACCGCTCTCCCTCTGCCCATGCTGGTCCCCTGAAGGTAACACAACCCTGCTGCATCTATCAACACTTGTGGCAGGTTACCTCGTCAGCCGCAAGGATCTGCAGAACTGGACTACCATCTTTTGCCTGTTACCCTTATCCCCATTCCTACCATACTTGTTATATTAGGCTGAGTACATTTCCCCAGAGTTCTCCCAAAACTTACTAAAATACAACATGTAGGATTAGGAAGTTTTATATATATATAAAAAAATGAATGTGTTTTGTTATAAGTCTAAACTAAAAGCTTCTAATTTTCAGATTTTACCCAAAACTATTACTCAAAAAATGAAAATAATACAATACAATACAACTTTATTTAAAAAGCACTTTAAAACAACACCGTTGGCCAAAGTGCTGTACACTAACACATACAAGCATAAAAACTATGAACTCAACAAATACCATAAAAGTGATGAACTACCAAATCATAAAACAGTAACAACAATAAAACAAACAACTTAAAACAGTAAAGCCAACAACATTTCAAGCTGCGTTAGAAGCCAAAGAAATAATGAGTCTTCAGAGCAGATTTAAAAACAGGAAGTGAGTCAGCTTGTCTGACGTGCAAAGACAGCTCGTTCCACAGTTTAGGTGTTTAATATCACACCGTTTAATATCAAGTCTGCTACTCACTGGTGGATATCTGAGACGTGAAAAATACATTTGTAATGCTATACCAACTAAAACATAAAAAATAATATATTTAGATTATGGACTTATGTATGCACTAACTGTTATTGCCGTATTTGTAATAGTTTACTTTATAAACCCTCTATGGGTTAAAATGGCTAAACTAGCACCGTAAGCTACTCTTTTTCACTTTAGTTTGAGTATTTTGAGTTTTGCAAAGAAAAATCATATTTCAAATTAGTCAAGTTATAGATGTACTAGTCAATACTCAATCATCCTATTTTATCCTAAATTATATATAT